AGGTATTATCTATATTTTAATATAATGCCTTTATATAGCACTATTATATTATATAGACTTTATATTATTCTTAGTACTTAGGTTTATATAGCAGTTTAGGGTTCTTGCTTATTAGTTATTACTAGTATTTACTTATTTTAATTAGGGTTTTTAGGCTTCCTTAGTTAAGGATATTTATTAGCTATATATCTAAATTAATTATAATTATAATATTTAACTTTAAATATATTATAAGGTTTTTTATTATTATTATATTATATTACCTTAAGTATTATAAATCCTAGTTTAGTCTTATATTATATATTAATATATTTCTTTTTTCCTTAATTAATATTTTGTTATCTGTTAGTGTTTTACTAGGGGTTATATAATCCTCTATGTTTTTCTACTTACTTCTCTTAGTATTACTTATATTACTAATTATTAATTTCTATAGTAATGTTTGCTAGTTTGTTTAGATTCTTTAGTTTAGGTCTAATATTTACTATTATATCCTTAACTTTTAACTTTAGTCTTAAATATACCTATACTATATAGGCTTCTTTGCCTTAATTTAGCTTAGCTACTTAGTAATAGTATTTAGTAAGATAGTCTATAATAAATCCTCTTTACTTAAGTTATTATACTTTTATTTTTATAATATGTTTTTTATTTATTACTTTAAAGGCATTTTTAAGTTTTAATTTAAAGTTTTTATATTTTTTATAAATATATTTTATTATTTCTTATTATTCTTTATATAATTTATTAATATAATTTTAAATAATAAGTTATATTAATTATAATACTTTATCTTTAAGGAATTTTATATTATATTAAACTTTTAGTTTATTAGTAATAAATTAAATAAAATAATATATCTAATAGCTCTAAAGGCTAATAAGGAATTTTTAGAGTTTATTAATATTACTATTAAATAGTTTAGGCTAGTAAGGTTAAAGGATTTCTCTAAGGTCTTTTCTAGTTATTATAAAAGCTATAGTATATTTAATATACTCCTTATAGAGTTTCTAACTATTTTTAACTTCTTTTTTAAGTACTTTTGCAATCTTAATAAGGTTAGCTGCCTTCTTCTTTAGATTTTTAATCTTATTCTTAGCTATATTAGAGTTATTCTTTACATTTTCTAGGAGGTTATTATATTACTAGCCAAGCTATTTAAATTTATATTTAAGTTTTATAACTTCCCCTTTATAAGTACTTAGATATATAAGGGTAATATCTTCTTTATTTTTATTATTAGTTTTTATAAGAATATCTACTAAGTTAAGGGGCATCTCTTACTATAAGTAATATAAGGCATATCTTAAGTTAGAAAACTAGCTTAAAGTAATAAGTATTATTATATTAGTATTACTTAGTATTATATAGTATATTTTAAATAAGAGCTATTAATATATAATAGTTAAGTTTTTTAAATAAGTAAACTAGTTTATATTAAGTTTATATTTATAAATTATATAAAGTATAATACTAAATATTATAAAATATTATATCTCTTAATAATTAAGTAATATATATTAGGCTTATTAATATAAAAATACTTTATTAATAGCTAGTAAGCTAAGTTTTATAAAAGTACTAATAAATATATTTTATATACTAAAGGTAGCCTAATAGCTTAATAAAGAATAATAATAATCTAAAAGTTAGATCTCTAAGGATTATTAGTAATTTATAGTAATTTAGTCTTAGAGTATTATAATCTAAGTAATTTAATAAAAGAGGATTATTACTAGGAGAAGTAATCCTTCTGTAATAAGTAGAACTTATAGGGCCCACGTGACATAGTTATATGGGTTATAATAATATATTATTAATAAACTTTTATAATATTTTAGTTAATATTTTATTAAGTTATTAATTATAATTTTTTACCTTTTAATATTAGCTATATTAGTTATAATTTCTTTTTTATATTTATATTTATAATTATCCCTTAGTTTATTATTTCTTTAATATATTATATATTTCTTTTTATTTATTTTAAATAGTATTATCTTATAAAATAATAAGATATTAATATATATAATAATTATATTTATTTAAAATAGTAAGCTATTTAATAACTAGGCTATTATCTTATAATATTATAATAAGCTTTAAATTAGTTAGTTTTAATATAATAAAATAGTTTTTTATATTTTTAAGTATTTACCACTTTAGCTAATATTTATATTAAAAATATAATTTAATACCTAGGCCTGGCTAAGTAGCTACTTAATATAGCTATTAAATTAATATTTAATAGTCTTAATTAAGCTATATAATATCCTTTATTACTACTTAATATTGCTTTTTCTATCTTAATAATAGAAAGTACAAAGTTAAGTAATTTTATTATTCTTTCTTATTAATTAAAGTCTCCTTTTCTTTATATTACTTTAACCCTAAGCTAATACTAGCTAGCCTTAAGTTTAAGGCTAGGGTTATTTTAAGCTAATTAATAACTTAAATTTACTTTAAATAATTTAGCTTTAAAATATAATAAAATAACTTATTTTATTAGCCGATTTAAGTTAAATTGCCTTTAATAATACCTAGGGTTATTTTTAGCTAATTAGCTACTTAGCTTTAATTAAAGCGATTTAGACTAAAATTGCACACCCTGCAACCCTATTTTCGTAGGCGATTTAACTTATATCGCCTGCAAATAATTCCTAGGCCTAGGCATCTAAGGCCCTTAAATGGTCATGCAGGCTACCCTGCCTGTCTAAGTCATCTCCTTAGGCGGTGCAGTCCTCAAGTTTGGACCTGGACAACAACTTGTCTAAATATGAAAATGCTGCTGCGCAGACATTGTATATCCCGCTCGGCCTCGCAATACTTACGATTATTGGGGTAGCTGCCATAGAGAGGAAGTTTATTAAGAAGAAGCAGTCTTGACATGTTTCAATTAAAGGTACAGAGTAGGGCGTTGGGCTTTAGTGCAAAGGGACTTTTTATCTTCGTGGGCTGAGGTCTTTCCAACATACCAACTTGCCTTAGAGGAGTTCCCTCCCAACCTTGAATGAGAACCTTATGCGTCCAAGCATGGCCAACGACATTATCTTCTGGCGGCATGCGCTTGGCAGGGCCTAATAACCGGGCCGTGAAAAAATGTCTGTAGTGCAACCGTGAACCGAGGCCAGCAGGGAGTAAAAGTGTTCAGAGTCTTGGGGTTGGAAGGTTGATATTTAGAGAATTCAAGCAATCCTGGTGGTAAATTCTGAGATACAGCGAGATTATGAAAGACCTCTAAGCTAGCTGAATAACTCTACAGTAGCATCTAATGAGCAATTCGCAGAACGATCTTGCCAAGATGCTTCTGATCCCAGAGATACTGATAGGCCTCTCGCGCTTGATCTAGCTCGAGGACGCGCTCATCCAAGACAGGATGAATATCATTTGCTTCGATGGCACGATTCATTTCCTCAAACTGCAGTCTTGAACCAACAGTGACGGCCCGCACCGTGCAGCAGCTGTAGACGGCGTCGAGGAATGTCGGCGCCTTTGCGTCGCTTCCGGGCGAAGTAAAGCTGCTGATGGAGCCCACCATTGAGATCAACCCTCCAAGCTTCACAGCAATGAGCGCCTACCAACAAAGTTCTCGAGTCAGGACCCAATTGTATCTTCAAGAGGGGTTTGTTGGAATGGAAAGTTAGCCTACCTGTCTAGCAGTTGATGGCCCTCCAACCTCGACGACGAGGGAAACGCCTTCGTTATTGGGTGTCAAGCTCTTCGCAATCTGCCCCCAATTGGGGTTCTCCTTGTAGTTGATGACGTAGTCTGCGCCGAGTTCCTTGAGCCTTTCTGCCTTGTCAGCTGCTGAAGTTGTCGAAATGACTTTGGCACCGGCTGCTTTGGCAAACTTTGAGTAGATTAGTTTCACCAAGTTCAGACCATCTTGCTAGTTTCACGGGAACGCACCTGGACAGCAAAGCTACTGACACCACCTGTGCCTTCAGTGAGTACGATGTCACCCGGCTTCAACGCCCGGCCCTCGAGCCCGTAAAGAGCACTCCAGGCGGTCAGGGAGGCGCATGGCAGAGAAGCAGCCTCGAGCAAGCTCAAATTGCCTGGAATACTAACGAGGCCCTCTTCCGAAAATGCTGCGTACTCCCGTAGTACGCCATCGAAAGAACCTCCGAGGCCACTGTGCAAGGCTCTAGAGTCGAGGGGCCCAGCGAGGTGGTGCTGGTGGAACAGGGTGGCAACCCGGTCGCCGACAATAAAACGGCTCACACGAGAGCCTACAGAGACGACGATGCCGGCTCCATCGGACAGGGGCACTAGACCGTCTTTTAGCGGGAAAGGGTACAGTCCCTGATGCCGTGGTCAATGCTCGATATCTTGGAGATTCGGAGATATGATGGAGAGATGGAAATTTGTAGAACGGGCACACGGCTCAGAAGCGCTTACCCTGGGGATGATGACGTCGCGGAAGTTAAGCGAAACGGCGTGAACTACCGGTAGTAGACTTTGAGCTAGCTACTGATAAAATGCTGCCAAGGCGAGGCATGGATGATATTACTTTGCACCAAAACATCTAGATCGCCGATGGAGGGGATCGGAGACTCTGTCTGGAATTGCAGAGAGTCAAAGCCATCGCTGCCGCGAACTACCCACTGCTTCTGGGTCTGGGGAACCATTGTTCATGGGAAATTTGCAAGTGTAGTAGTAAAGGTTACGTGGTGTGATCAAGTGATGGACAAAATCGTGGAGGGTTTGGAACTTTAACACTGCTCAGAGGAGCCACAAACTCTTTATCAAGCTGAGGCAAGCCAGCGCAAAAAGCACGTCGGGCCTACTCGGTCACAAACACTGTTCTCATCATCTAGCTTACAAATAGAGTTGCTTATGAAAGCGAGTTTAGATTGAGGACCACATTGATTATAGTTAAGCTATGCCCCGTAATTTGTCTTTCTCGTGGGGCCTCGGATTGCGGATTGATCCACGGGCGAGATTAAGTAGCCCCAAGAATGATCTAGCTTCTAACTTCCTTCTCACGCTGCCCCGCAATTTGTCCTTAACACAGATCTATCAGCAGGCGCAGACACGCTTCTCTTTCCCGACTTTGCATTCTTTTCAAACCTACAGATACTCGCGCAGCAAGAAGAAAAAATGACGCATTATCAAGCGCCGCGTCGTGGCCGACCTCGCCTACAAGGTCATGACGACGTCAGAGACAAGGACGACGTCGAGGTGCGTGTAACAAACCTGCTCCACAAAACGCCACTAAAAGGGCTCTAGAACAAGCGGATGCGGATGAGGTTGGCACAAAGGACGTACCGAGCTCGAAAATAGGGTGCGTTGAACCTGGAAAGGGTCCGCAGCGAGTGTCTCAGCGGGGCTTTGGACCAGGCGCTTGCAGCTTTTGCTGCTTTCCATCAGCGTGCTCTTGAGTCCCCCGAAGTACAGAGTTCGTCCGGTCTTCTGGCTCATCTAAACAAAGCGGCTTCGGAAATGGCGACAATTGCCAGTGACACAAACAAAACCACTAGACTTTTGTATGCTTCCGAATCCACCTACCCAAGCATTCAACAACCAGACCTAGGAACAACGTCGCTCTCAAGTACAACCGCTGATGGAGAATTACAAAATGACTGGATCATGGGTCTCGAGCCCACGACAGCGCATATGCCAGCTCTGTCACTCGCCGTGTCGTCTGACGCGGTAGCCCTCACACTACGAACGGCTAACCGCACCTTGAGCCCACTGTCGGAGAGGTTCATTCGAGCTTTCTTCGAACGTGTCATCACTATCTTATCAAGCAGTTCTAGACACGAGAGCCGATTCGTGGACTTGACGCTACCTCTTAATATTCTTGGTGAGGAGCTGCTCGTAGATGAGACCCTCAAGATTCTTACCCTCTTTCCTCTTGCGGCAGACTACCAGTATCTCCCTGAGTCCGCGGTTCGTTTGCCATCCATGTACCGTGTTGTTGAAGGTGATAAAAACGGTATACGTCGACTACCGTCGCCATTAGTGCAGCGGATCGTGCGTGGCAAGACTAGGACTATGTTGGCGACAGAATTTCCACCATTACAGGGGGAGTGGCTAGAGGCCATGGACGTTGAGGAGTACCTGGAAGATCGGGGAATTTGTTTACGTGGTGCGAGCTTCAGTCATATGGTCAACTTTGAAGAGCTTGGGACTCAAATGCTCACTCGAAATATTGACTTGCAGAATGGGCGGGCTTTGACAGCAACCAATAGTCCCATATCCGCAGTACCGGATCAAATACGAGTCGCTTCCCAGGTCAATCATTACCAACAGCCTCTAAACGAAACAGGAGGCTTATCCGTCGACTTGCGACGTCATGAGCCCGCAGACTATTCAGTATTCGGACTCCCAAGACCTGAACAGTCGATCAGTCCGGCTGAGCCCCTCCCTCTGCTAAGGACAGGCCTTGTGCCAATCCAATCACCGAGAGTGTCTTACACTGATTCCACCCAGCGGAGCTATCACCCAGCCTCCCAGATTACCATTGACCTTGACAAGCTTGTACACCTGCTGGCGTCCAATGCTACTTGTCTGGGACCTGCGCCAGGGGTTCGGAAAGCTGCGGTAGACTCATCGATTGCACAATCCGTCACCCAACCCTTATCTTAAGTACCATTCGCAGGCGATTTGACTCAAATCGCCCACACAAAGTGGGTTGCGCGACCGGCGTTTTAGAGCAATATCGCTTGGAGTTGGGCCAGGTCGCTGATTGACATGTCTCCGAACCCCAGGGTTTGGGCTTAGCTAGCCCCAAGTTAGGTTTAAGGTTACGCAGGTTAGAGTGGTTCAAAGTGAGGAAGGAGAATAGAACAGTATTTTCTACTTAGTTGTATTTATTTACAGAAGGTGATTCAAGTATGCCCGATAAGGATTGTGTAATTAAACGAGGACTATCGGATGCTTGTTTGTCGGCTTTGCAAAGCAGCTGTTCGGCCCGGCGCCGGCATCGAGTTGCGCTTTTGACATGAGCATCAGATGAAAGGCAAAGTGCTAGAGGATATCAAACACTACTATGGAGCAATGGAACTGGCCGACCCCAAACTTGCCGAATTGCCAAAAAGCAGCAGCATAGCTATTGAATTGCTTGACGTGCCAAACAGATACAGCTTCGCCGCATGCAGGTATCTCATGGTACCGGAGATGGTCTGGAAGCGTGCTTCATGAGGCAAAAGCGAGACAAAAGAAAGGTCAACTGCTTTCTTCCGCTATAGCGAACTATTCGTGAGATAGACCAGCGCCGGTGTGGAATTAGGTGGAAAGATGCTGCTTTTCGGAAAGCCTGACATGATGTTTATATACGGTGAATTTTTTCTTGAAACCCTCCTTTTTCCGCGTTCAATTTAGCACATTCTGACGCAGAAGATGGAATTGTAACTCGCCCGAAAGCTGTTGACGAAGTCACCGCGAGAGGAGATAATGCCCTTTCGCAGTCACACGGCAAGTTCTTTCCGATGTGCATTCTTCAACGGCTGAAAGACCCTTACATCCATCGGCAGCATGATATGTGTACATCATGTCACTCCAGAATGCTGCTTGTATAAAGCCGGAATACCTTACTAGCCTAGAACTTCGCGTTTGATGTCGTCATCACACCTGTACTGACTGAGTCAGTAATTTGAGTACCACCATAGATATAGGTAGATATCCGTAGATTGAGACTCTCGAACTGGCGGACCAAATCGAGGACGAACGGCGGACAAGCGGTAAATTATTTGTCTTCCTTGCTTAAGAGTAGTGATTCTTAAGCCCACCATCGGGATTCCTTGGCACCCCTGCTTCGTGTTGGAAAGAAAACACCGACCAAATTGGGAGGGCGACCACCCACCTTAGCTAGTCCGGGTATTTTCCCCCCCTTCGGCAGGGCCCAGCCGTCGCTTTGAGCCTTTCAAGCTGGTAATTGTAGAATATAGTTTCCCTAGTTCTATTGGTGTGATCACGTCTTCGTACTTAAAACGCAAATCTCCTATACTTCCTTCTCGAACTCACTCATCACTATTTCGCTCCACGCCGGCTTCTTTACTTCACTTTATCCATTATCACGGTTTCTCATCATATCTCGTGCCATCCTCATCACCGGCGCGACCGGCAGATAAGGCAGGGCTGTCATCAACGCTCTGGTCGCAAAGCTGCCCTCAGACTTCCTTCTGCTCGCCATCACCCATAATGTGCAGTCCACCAGCGCAAAACGTCTCGCCGCCAAGTCGCCTAACGTCAAGTTGGTCGAGGGGGACCTCGAATCAATCGCATCTCTCTTTCAGTCTGCCAAGAAAGTCGCCGGAACTGCGCCGCTTTGGGGCGTTTATTCTGTACAAACATCCGGCGGCAAAGCTGCCATATTAGAGGCCGAAGTAAGGCAAGGAAAAGGCCTGATTGGCGAGTCAATCAAGGCAGGCGTCTAAGACTTTGTCTACAGCAGTGTTGATCGCGGCGGTGAGAGATCTTGGGATAACCCAACCCCTGTACTACACTTCGAAACCAAGCACGGGATCGAACACCACCTCTGCGACTTGACTTCTAATGGCAAAAGCACCATAGGCTGGACTATTTTGCGACCTATAACTTTTATGGATAATCTAGGACTGAGTTTTGCAATGAAGGTCTTTCTTATACTTCTTTGCGATATAATGAAGGATAAGCCGATACAATGGATCGCAACCGAGGACATCGGCTACTTTGTAGTCGAGGCTTTCTCTGACTTAACGACTTATTGGATTAATTGGCAACGAATTGAACTTATTGTAACTCAGCCAGTCTTTTAAGAGGGCCGCAGGAAGCCTGGCGCCGATAATGTTTAGTTTGCTTGGAAAGGCGCTGAAGCATGGCGTCCCTGAGATGGGCGGTATGATAAGCTGGTTGTACGATGGCGGATACGGCGCCAATGTGGCAGAGACTCGGAAGATTCATCCCAATGCGACGACTATGGAGGATGTTGTAACAGATATGGAAAAGCCGCATTGGCCGTGCTTGCATTTATTTGGTCTGTTGAGTGCACAGAATAGTTATGGTGAATTGGGCGTTGTTTATTTCGTCGATACTCAGAGCCACTCCATGTACCTGGACCTTGGCGGTGTGCCATGTGGGGTGAGGCACCTAGTTTGTCGTCTTACATCAGTCAAAGTTACCGGGGCTTCCGACTGCACAGCATGTCATTCGTCCAGCGCGAGCTAATGTCGAATTGTGCTCAATTGGGATAGTGCACGACGCTGACCGTGTCATCAAAGCCTTGGGCCATTTGTTTTGACTCTTGCCGGAAAGCAGAAATGGTGTTGACAAGACGGATAATCACGGATTTAGATTGGGATCTTCCTTAAAGATATTAGTAAATAGATAGGCGTTCTTTTGTCAATATATTCATAGATCATGCAACTCATTGCAGCAAAACTTTCCACTTTCACTCGGTCACTCCTCACAACGATCACACAGCTTCGTCCTCCACAAACAAAACAATAAGTTACAGCCTTCAAAGAAGCCCGACTTCCGCCCTCAGCCAACCCATGTAATCGGGATTCATATCGTCAAAATCCCATCATTTTGAAAGCACCTTGACTGCATAAAAAGTTGTAGCCTTATCATCCGCAGGAAATAGAACTGTCAGGAGCGGCTAGAATACCTCCTCATTGGATCCCAAGACAGATCTTCCTCATCGTGTGTTTTCCCGCGGGGTGGGCCATGTATGGTGACCCAACCCTTAGCTTCTTGGATGAGCAAGCCACCTCTGGGAACTGCCCGAGGTCCATCTTCATCTCTCTGTGGAAGATGGCTCACAACTCTACGCGCTGCTCCTGCCACGGCGCCCCAGAGCCGCACTGTCGGATCTTTCGACCCGGATGCAACTTGCTTACCGTTTAGTGAGAAAGCTACTGAGTTGGCGCTACTTGAATGGCCAATGTGCGTTTGTGACGCCACTCCCGTCGCGGTGTCCCAGAGCTGAAGTGACCTGAACTAGCATAAGTTGTACTTAATCACGAGGTCATCATGTCGTATCGCACATATTCAGCCATTTGAATCAGTATACCTTCTCAATTATTGCTGGCCTGCTGAAAAAAGCATTAGTAATGGATTGACAAGGCGATTGGTGAGGAAGCTAATTGCAAACATATGTTTATACCCTATTCACTTAGACTGAGCCCGATTCGATGATCTGCATAGCCGCCCGCCCTTCCCTCCGCGGCGCCTGAAGGTTGGGCCCCGGCTGTTGAGATTACAGTGGTTCACCCTACCTTCGAAGTTCTAAGTTTGGCAAAATTCTGTTTGGACTCCGGTTTCACGGGGCCAGTGGCGAGAATGTAAGACTTGACTCAATTATATCTTTGGGACATTTTGTCTGGTCCAGGGCTGGAAAGACCTGTCAAGTATCGATACACAACCATATCTTAGGGAAGCCTGTATAACATAAGGAGCTATCGCCATCTCTATTATAGTTTCTACCGTGTGCCCCGAAACTCTTGAAGCCACCCAACCATTCCGCCTGTGCTACAGCGCCAGCCACAGGGACTCTCACTTGCTCGGCATCTCAACGATTCCCATATCCCATATCCTTCTAACAATCAAACGTCATTCAATGCAATATAATCCTCACCCAAACACTCCTGTTTCACAGGCCCACCTCTTCCAAATACATCCCCTGCATGCACAAAATGAAACAGAGCCTGCACAATAATCATCGGCGCACCATCAAACACATACATAGCCCACTCATGCGTCATCAAACATCCGTCATGGCCCCCTCCAACTTCAATCATTCTATAGACACATCGCGCAATAATAATGACTGATGCCACACAACAATAGCATCAACAATTTCCTCCAGCCATGTTTGCCATGTTGTGGGACTGAGGAGAGCTTAGCACTCTTGATCATTCGTCGGCCGGAGATTATGGCGATGACAAGAAAGAACTCGAAGAAGAAAAGCTGGGCAAGGAGACCGACAAGAAGAATCTTCTTGCCAACATCGGCGTTTTCGGCTCTTCCCATCAATCCGCCTCCTGCTCCCCGGACTTGGAATGCAAAGACGACACCCACGACAAAGATTAAGGTTACTCTAGTCGGTCGGATGACGGATGCTTCTGGTGCATTGACGAAATGGACGATGCGGCCGTAGATCATGTATACTGTGGTCGCGTAGAGGGAGGGAGGTAGAAGAATGAGGATACTTTGAACGGTGTAGAGTCCGATATTTCGGGACTTTTGGCAGAAGTTCTACCCTTAATACTTGGTCGAGGATCTACCTTTGATGGCTGTGGGCGATCTCCTATTGTAGGTTGTTAATGAAGTAGCAACTAGCTTATATAAAATGTAAATATCTTAGATTTATAATCCTAAGATGATAGCCCCTCTAGAGTGGTAAAAAATATAATTCTTTTTGTTATTTATTAATTGGCTACCTTGCGAGTTTTAGACCTTCAGGAGCCAGCCAACGCTTACCACCAGACTACAGTGTTCTTAGCTATCCATCTAAGCACCAAACACCTTAACACAGTCCTCGAGAGGATTGAACTGTTTAGCGGTAGCCTCGCTAGTCTTGCCACCAAAGACAAGCTGGGCATTAAGCTTCCAGTTAGCGGGGACCCTCCAAGCCTCGGCGACCTTCTCGTCGATCAGAGGGTTGTAGTGCTGGAGGTTAGCACCGAGACCCTCAGCCTCGAGGGCAGTCCAGAGGACAAACTGCAGCATGCCAAGACTCTGGCTAGCCCACAAGGGGAACTTGTCGGCGAAGGGGACGAATTTGGCCTGTAGGCCCTCGACGGTGGTGATATCATTGAAGAAGAGGATGGTACCAGCGGCGCCCTTGAATAAGGCGAGCTTATCACTAGTGACCGTCCAGTTCGCAGCGGGCACGATAGGCTTCAGGGTGTCAATAGTGATGTCCCACAGCTTCTCATGCTCGGTGCCGTGGAGGACGACCAGACGGTTAGACTGGGAGTTAAAGGATGTGGGGGTATGCAGGACAGCCTCGTTAACAATCTCCTGGATGCGAGAGGTGGAGATGGGAAGGTTCTTTGAGAGGGGGTAGTAGGTTCGTCGGCTCTTGACGAACTGCAAGAAGAGATTGGCGGAGAGTTCAGCGGCCATTTTGTCTGTCGTTATAGGGTTGTCTGTTGTAGGAGTGGTGGTTGTGATCGTTACAGGAGAGCGGGAGTAGTAGCAATTGAGAATGCTAGAGATGGAGGAAGAATATGGTAGATGTAAGTGGCCAATGTTGTGAGTCTGCAGAACAAAAGCCAAAATCAAGACAGCGAGAACCCCGGCTGCCTTTAATACCAGCGCTCTTTTCCTCATCGGTTTCTCCATCACGTGTCTCTGGTCTCCAGTGTGTTCCACTACAGGCATCGACGGGAACCGAATCTTTTAGCTTTATTCTTCCCATGCTTTCCTTGATAAGCACCTTCATATCCGCTACAAGGGCTCCCTGGGCTGATTGCTAAGTTGGGTGGAGTGGGGAGCCGAAACCGAAGGGAAGCCTTCATCAGTTCTCGCACGGCCTAGAATAGGGGAACGCACCCGACAAGACAAGGGCATTGTCGGTCAGCTCGTGTGTTGGGAACTCGGATATACGCTTTAGGATGGATATGATGGGGCAGTTGTCAAAAGCTGATAATGGCTACTGGAGTGGTACGGAGCCATTGTCGGGATGTAATAAGCGGTATCCGAGTATCACGCCGCATCGGGGAACTTGCCGGTCACATTCGCCCGTCTCCTCAATTTCTTAGTATCAAAAATGGACAAGAAATTAATCTAGTTCTTACCTAATGGCTTATTAAGTCAATTGAAAGTAATCGAACTGCACTTAGCCTACGACTTCTGCTACCAACAACGCTCCCGAAGTCAACGTCGATGACAAATACCCCTGTATAGCTATCCGCTCCACCCCCGGCAAAGTTCCTACCAGCCTCAATGTTACTCTGTCGTTACGACGGCGATCTTAGTTGTGCATCTATTACCCCACCCTAACTGAAAGTCTATCTCCAAGCGTTTCTTGACCGACTAATGTATGCCACGCCCTGTCCAACTTGTATTGCGCTGACTCAGCGGCAAGCGTCCGTCCTAAGGGCTACTCGAAAACACGGTAGGATGAAGGCAGCCAACCTTGTCAGGATTTCAGGTGTCAGTAGCTGCAAATAAAACGCTCGGGTTAACCGCTCAACCGTGCATTATCTGGAAAGCGAATAAGCTGCAAGGGGGATTTACTCGGGTGGGAAATTACCCGATTCAAAACCGTTCTAGCAACAAGCACCCTCGAATCAGTCCAAGTGCGTAGTGCTAAGGTAGTGCTGTATTTACTAGTTAGAAACATTTAACTTTACAACGCTAGTCCTCTCGGCATAGTAAATTCCATCCACTTAACTATAGGTGCGTGATCTCAGTTAGTCCCGAATATTGCAGAGCTCAGATTATGCGCTTATTAAGCGCATAATAACAGTAATCCCTGGGAGTAGCATTTAATGATCTTCATATACTAGCCTGCTCAGCTTCGGCATATATATACTTTACTAAGCAATTACCTGCAAAGAGTAAGATAGATTATTACCTATCGAGGTGCAAAACTCAAATTACCATTTGTCATCATTTGTCGTACATAGCACTCGAATTAATCAGGGCTTCTCTAGATACACATATAACACAACCCAGCTTCTGCTTCGGACAGTGGCATAAATCCGAGGCCAGTCCTAGTGGTATTGTTTATATTGCGCAGTAGTGCTGGGTGAAAATATATTGTGTAAAACTTAGTTGTTTATTATTGAGATGAGAGTTCTTCTCGGGTTTATATCTCCAGATAATTTTATCTAGGACTTTCAGACTAACAGTCTGAATCCTGAAGATAAGGGGGATTCCTATTTTTCTAATAAGTAGGAGTTAGTAATGCAGGTATTTCTGGCTTGCAGGATCTAATCTCCGCTTAGGGAGCGGGTATAGGAGCGATGACACGCGGGGTATGGAGATTTAGTACAATCATGAGTTACTAAGCGCAAGACTTCAGTATTATAGCAGAAATGTGACGTAAGAGGGAATGGTTCTGTTTAAACACGGGTATTTGCAGGTATAATCTGTCTTTGATTAGTTGTTAGTTGTACTCTGGGTTGAATCAGTCACTGTAGTTTCTACTCTTTCCGGGACTGTCCCTTATAGATACAACGAGCCTGTTACTGAGATTATAGGAATCACGCCTTGTTCTGTTTGCTTCGATATAGTAATTCGAGTAGTTGCAAGATTCTTAGGGTGATACTTTACTCCATGTACCGTCGCCTAGAGCCGGATGTCGATGGAATGATGTGCCCGGATCTCTCAAACTGGAAAGATGGCCGAGAACGGTCCAAGTGAGCTGTCGGTACGTACGGACAAGATTTACCCCTCACTGCGTAAACGATGAGTTCAAGCGAACCGGCGACTATATATTTAAGCATCAGTCCATTAGACTTCCTAATCTATCTTCGCCCTATTCAGTATCAGCAAGAACAATAAACCGTCGTCAGAATCATCACTATTCTCATCATTTCCAGCAATCAACATGTCTGCCACTAAGCCCATTATCTTTTACACCACCGCTAGAGGCCCTGTTCCATGGAGAGTCACTACCATTCTCAAGGAATTGAAGGTTCCTTATGAGAGCAAGTACCTTGAAAGCCCCGAGATGAACACAGAAGAATACAAGTCTCTGAACCCGAATGCCAAAGTTCCTGCCATTGAGGATCCCAATACCGGAATAAGACTGTTCGAGGTTAGCTGCACGTCTTAGATGCATATGTGCTCTGATATTCTAACTCGACAATAGGCTGGAGCTATCATTCTCTATCTTCTTGACACCTACGACACTGCTGGCACCTTGCACTCACTTTCAGGAGCAGAAAAGTACTTGGAATTGGCGTGGATGCAATTCCAGGCGTCCGAACAACACATGTACTATAGTCAATATGCCTGGTTCCTGTACAAACACCCAGAGCATGTCCAGTCTGCCCTCGACCGCTATGAATGGACGATCAAGCGCACCATTGGGATGATCGACGAGTATCTGAAGAAGACCGGCAGGAGCTATCTCGCCGGCGACAGGGTCACTTACGCCGACCTTGTCTTTGTGGTTACCAACGAGTTTGTTCCCCAATTGCTCCCAGGATACGACCCATCCGAGGAATTTCCCCATTACGCTAAATGGAACTCTTCTCTTGTCAACAGGCCCTCGTTTCAAGAGTTAGCTGCTGAGAGAGCAGCTCTTGGCCAGCCACTGGGTGTAGTCGATCAGAAGCATATCGATAACTACATTTGGAGAAACGATCCAAACCACAAGTGGTGATATTTCTATGGTAGATACTCATATAGATAGTCATCTAAGAATCATTACTTTAGGTTTTGATTTTTACCCTAGGGTTGAAGGACACTTTCACGACTTCAATACCTCTCAATAAACTGTACTGCAATATGATACTCTAGGACTAGTAGCCTACCAACAACTCCTCATAGTACGTCAATTGACAACATAACACTCGCATCAACGGGAATTCTTCAGTCAGCAAGTAGAGCGTAAGGCCTGGTGACCTAGTTGCTCCAATTATCTTAAAAGAGTCCATGATCCTATAAACATTAGAACAAACGAATGGGGCCGTTCCTAAGTGACATCTGGCACTAGAAGATCATTTATGGCCTTCCAGTGACTTAACTCTTTACTTTTAGATAGCCTCGAAAGCGATTTTGTCGCAGAGGTTAGAGTTTCATCCTCCGTCACCAGAACAAGCTCGTACTGCAAGAGTCGGGCCGAGGGAAAAACGTCGTAGTTGACTGCGTACAGGTCTTAAATCTACAAGTAGAGACTCTTGGACTCCAAATACGGCGCCTGATCCCTCGTATGGAGAGCCACGGTCGTAAAGCGCGCTATAAGAGGTCTTAGGCGGTACGGACGGAGACCCAGCCTCCTTAGGAGGCGCCCAACAGGTCGATCGTCTGGGATCGGATAGGGGACCGGTGTAATGACTGAGAAATGAAACAAACCATCTTTATGGATATGCACCATATCGCGTCACGTGGGCGAAATCTTAGAAGTGTGTAACCAACTGTCAAGGAGTAAGCGCAGACAAACGTCCTCGCCCCATGAATTAACGACTTTCACATGGTCCGGAATATTCTCGATTGTCAGGTTTAACGGGAGATGTGTTGCGCAGTCCATAATGGCTATTATGGAGGGATATATTAAGCTTGATAGTAGGTAGGTAGTGTATGTAGGGTAAAATAACCGATTCTTCCAACTATCGATGCGCAATGAAGTACGCTGGAACTAGCTGATTACCAAGCAGCCAGTCGAGCTATTATAAGAAGTGGTGGACGGTGCTAATAATTACACTTTTCTCAGTCATGATATAGTGTATTGAGAATTTGCCATAAGGCTCGAAAAATTCAGCTAATTTAAGTTACATTTCATTCTTTTCTCCGCTATCAGACTTGTCTATTGCGGTTAATTCTTCACAGTCTGGAGCGCATCAGAAGTAGACTTATTATCAATAGCGTTAACGTCTGTGCTTTCTGCGTAACAGATTTCCATGGACATACCCTAAAGAGCAGGCTACCCATCCCCTCTCAATACCCTGCCACCTGATAGTACTAGGGTCATCTGACCGCGTCGCTCTGGTGACTGATTTTAAGCCTCCTTTTACCTCTCCAGTGGAATATCCCAGAAGCATCACTGTAATGCAGTAGTGGAAAGGGATTCCTCGGCAATTGAGGAGTCACGGAGAGTGGAGTAATCTCACTATCTAGCTATCAAGACATGGGGAACCCGGGCACCCGCTTCAGAGGCGCCCTGACGCCCAGAAAGCATGAATGTATCGCCCCAGCGCATTTTGGGGCTCCGAATCCGAGCGTTAGTTGATAGCTGAGGAGTCAACATGCCAGTCATGCCTATCGGAGTGCGAGCACGTTGACTCTCCGTGTTGTACGCATACGCCTGGGGGAGATTAGTGGGGCATTAATCGCATCTGATGCGTGTGTAGGGGTCCCTTGTTCAGTCCCGATGACTAAGCGCAAAACCACCCTTACGAGCCGAGCCTCACATACCGACCGAGTACTAGTCTGCGGATTCAAACTGTCGTACAGTCTGGAGGCGGCGATTTTCGTATTCAAAAGTGTTATATAAGCCAAAGTGATTTCTCTGAGAGAAAATGAACCCATATTGCAAACACATTCCACTTACTGCACCTGCTACATTGAGTACTTCCAACTTTCTTTTTTAAACACCTTCAACATACACTCTCGAGACATCATGACTATACCATCTGAATCGACTACTGATGTGGTGATCATTGGTGCTGGGCCATCAGGGTAAGTCCACTTCGAGCAGACCACCTTTTATCTGTTTTGATTTCTAATTACTTTGCATGTAGTCTTATGGCTGCTTTATGGATGGCGAGATGCGGTGTGAAAGCACGCATCATCGATGCCCGTGCCACAAAGGTCTTCAGAGGCCATGCTGATGGAATGCAGACTGGAACGCTGGATATATTTGACTCGTTTGGCATTGTAGATGAACTCTACAAGAACGCTGCTCCTGCAGTGGAGATGACGTTCTGGGTTTGTGGGACCTGCCTTTGGTGTGATACCCAAGCTAACTTCGCGCACATAGGCTGGTACTAAGGATGACCCCATGAAACGCGTTGCTCGCTTTCCAAAATGGTACCCAGAGCTCGGTAACTACCGTCTGGTCCACACTAGTCAAGGTTTGAACAGTCCTCTGTAATGCTAGGAAGACGTCTAACTATGTGTAGGGAACACTGAGCGTGCTATGCTGGATGGTATGAAAGCCTTGAACGGACTCGAAGTCGAACGAGGTGTCATAGCGACAGGCCTTGAAATTGACGAGGCGAATGTGCATGATCCTCAAGCTCATGCGATCAAATTGACGGTTAGACATCTCACGGACGAAGAATTAGCTGCGTCTTCGAAAGACGAAACTATTCCCCGGCCCGGGGATTTCAACTATAACCCAGCAGACGAGCCATACATGAAGCGCAAAGTTACTGGAAAAGAAGGCAGCACCGAAGTCATCAGGGCCAAGTTTGTGATCGGTACCGACGGAAACCGAAGCTGGACTCGCAACGCTTTGGGTTTCGACTTTATCGGAGATGATGAGTCCGGGGACGAGGGTTTTGGTGGTATTCTGGACTGCGTTGCAACTTCGAACTTTCGTATGCAACTCTCGATCCGATCCCTTGGCTCAAGCTGACAATCTTCACAGCGGACATCCGTATTCAATCAGTCGTCTCCAAGGACGGACGTGGAGCGGGTTTCGTACCCAGGGAGAATGGGATAACGCGCATTGCAGCCCCCATTTCTAGCAGGGCAGAGGCGACTCCAGAAAACATCATCAAGTCATTGAAGGAGGTTCTCCATCCTTATGAGATTAATGTCAGCCGTATTGATTGGTGCGGAGTTTTTGGCACCCGCCAACGAATCTCAAGCTCTGCTTCTAAGCACTCCCGCGTCTTTCTTGCTGGCGACGCACTGCATGTCCATTCACCAAGAGCGGGAATTGGCATGAACTTCAGTATACAAGATGGTAATGGTATTCCCTTGTACAATACAAAGCTTTGCTAACATGTTCAGCATATAACCTGGGCTGGAAAATCGCCCATGTTTTAAAGGGGATTTCTCCACTGTCCGTTCTCCAGACATACGACGAAGAACGTGGATTGACCACCAACCAGCTCATCGCTTTTGATAAAGCACTGTCGAAGCAGTCGAATTTGAAAGAAAACTTTTCGGTTAAAGGAACCAGTAACGGCATAAAAGACGCTCTCCCATTTTCAAGCACTACGGCAATCGAGTACGAGGCTGGATTGTTTGTCGCCAAGGAAGGTGGCCCGATTGTTTCCAAGCAGCATTTGGCGTCTGGCATTGTTGTAGGCAGACGTCTACCCTCGCACGTTGTCGAAAAGCACGCCACCGGAGAAGCGGTCGATTTCGGAAAATCCTTCCCTAGTGATGGTCGGTACCGGATCGTTATCTTCGCGGGCGATATATCGCGACCAGAGCAGTTACGCCGAGTGGAACGTTTCAGCGAGCTGCTAGAGCTCCCTGACGCTTTCCTTCAGCGTCTCGATGGGCATGCCATCTCGCCGCGAGACGTGTTTGAAATCCTTGTTCTGCATAGTGCGAGCAGGGATGATGTCGAGATCGCTGACCTGCCCTCGTTCCTCTTTAAGCATGCTGATGCTTTGGATCAAGTCTTTGTTGACAACAATGAAACAAGGGACTGGACCCTAGGTGAAGCATACAGCAAGTATGGGGTAGGTCGAGAAACAGGATGCATTGTACTAGTCCGGCCGGATAGGCATGTCATGTACATCGGCGAGTTGGAAGACGGTGCCGAGATGGTCAAACTCGTGTCCTCAGTTTTCGTTTGATAGGATAGTTTCTACATTATAGAGGGAAATTTCAATATACAGGCTATTGTTTCGTCACTTCTCTGTTTAGCCTTTGGTTCACCGCAAGTTCTCCGAGTCTTTCGTCTGGAAGAAAAGCAAAAACATGTGAAGGCCGGTGTTTTCAGTCCTGCCTACTGTATCAGGTCCCACTGATGTCAGTACCCTATACCATTTTCTAGCCCGTGAGCGCTTGTATGATGAGTTTTGACATAACCATCATCTCTCCTATTCTGTTACATCCTACTATATGTTCAACATGTCATGTATCGTGAAACTTGGCGAACGCTGACCACGGATCCTTCCAATCGTGAGCTAACATTCTTCTCGACTTGATAACAAGGCTGATATGTGACAATGATATGTGACTATATAGCCTATAGGTCTGTCGTTTGTCATATATTACATGCACTTCTCAACGCCAGATCCGTCTGTTGCCATTTCCCTGCCAGCCTTAGCGATGGCGCAGTTACCAAGACGGATCAGTTCTGTGATAAAGTCATTTACTAACTGAATATGATCAATCTCATGCTGTGTCGGCTTTTGTATTGGCATGCCGCGAATGAGCTCTACTGCTGAGCTCAACAGCTCTATATCCGCTTTTGCTTGTGAAGCCAATGGTTCAGCCAGGATTTGAAGGAATAGCATCGTTACCGCTGCCGTGGGATAGAAGACAGTAACCCTAATGATGTAGTGTTAGAACATTCCTCGCCTGCTCTACACTACAAACAGGACTCCGGGACTGAAGAATAATCAAATGAGTTACCATAACTAAACTCACCAGAATATCTCTCCAGCTAGATCATTGATGACTGCTCGAAGATAAAATAAAGTTGACCGACTCGCTTCAAGGCACAATGCTATACTAGAATTGATTGATGCGTGACGTTCGTTGGCATGAAGACCAGTGTCTGGATTGTTTGCAATACGCCTAGCGCCTGCCCGGTGTATTGCCACTACAAGATAGTGGTACTCAAGGTGTAGAACAATATTTTGCATTCGGTGTTGTATTGGGAGATCTGACAGTGGTTGCTTGGGATCGGAAACGGAGAGAGCAGGGCGAACAACATTTGGGATAGATAGTCGCCAACTTTCAAGTTCATCGTCCAACTCCAAAATAGCACGGATGACTTCGGAATCTGATTTGGTAAGAGCTTGAGCGGAGTATAATAGCTCGTATGTTTTATGCTTGAGCATACTCAGTCGTAACTCTCCAGGAAGAAAAGGAACTAGGGACTCGTTCGCGAAGAAAAACGAGGAGACATCGTGACCTGGTACAGGAGGTACGAACTGGGTTTCGATATAGCCTTCGGGGAGTGTGAGGTCACAGTCCTTGTCAGATATCAAAGGCACCTGTCCTGTCCGAAGGGCAATATCCTTGTCAAAGACATAACAATGCCAGAAAAGTAGTCGGATGTGGCGGGCTTGTCGCTCTTGACGAGTAACTTCGTCGTTGAAGGATTTAGTTTTCGTACTTGTGTGTCCACCAAGTATGAATGCCATTCTGCATGCGATAGAGTGGTAAATAGCGCCCGACTCTGAGCGACCGAAATGTCTTTGACGGAGGTACTGGTTGCTTTGAGCTACTAACATCCCGCTAAGCAAGGTCAGGGCCGATAGAAACTCACCAGCATCAAGGCCGTTTGGAGATTTTCCACAGTGGCTTCGTCGAGGATATGTGGTAGGAAGGAGCGGGCCGCATCGTAATACGCATCCCAGTCCATGGGGGGGAGGAATGATAGTTTGTCGTGGAAAACACCCACCATGGAAAGAAATGCCAACACGCCTATTTTGGCGGTGATTTGTTTCGGGGATGGCAGCATGTCGCTGACTTCATAGGCCGTAGCAATAGTTTCCTGGAACAGAGTGTAGTCGACGACCGGGAATGCCAATCTTAAAGTTGATTGGTGAAAAGCATCTAAAAACGCCTTAGCAATACCTCGTGATGGAAGCACAGAAAGATGATCGGTTGCTTCCTGAAGGGACATCTGAAGCGGGGCTGGTAGCTGGGTTCGCTGCCTCATGAGAGAGGTAGTGAGTTTTCGGAAGTCAGCTTGTTCACCGGTTCGCGAGTATATCCATTCCTCGTCTTCTTTGGTGAAGAAAGGAACGCCACTGTGACAGCGATTCTGGCCTAGGAGAAGTCCGGCATAGGAACTGGTTGAGTCTTCTGGAAACGCCCAGTTGGTCTCATTCGAGTGACATGCAATTGAAGTGTCTGACATGGTAGAGACAAGTTGGACGTTGAGACTTCCGCTGAAGTCGTGGGATAAAGGTTTGCTGGCACGTTCGGATTGATCTGTTAAGTTATCGTCGAGCCCTGGCCTCAGTCTTGATATTGTTAGAAACGGGAGGTTCCTGGAATTGTATCTGACTTAGAGGAACAGATTTGACCTACTTGCTTTTCGCCGCTCTTGCCTGAAGTCCATGGAATGTGCACGGCATTCCGTGGCAACTGCACCAGTCGCACTGTCGTGTCGGGCTAGAAGGATCACCGTCACATTGGATCTAGTACGGTCCAAGAAGTCAGTTATGTTATCCTGGAAAGTAAGTACCTGCTCCTCATCTCACTCCACGGACATTGTAGATCGCTTGGCGAGCAACCCACCTTCCTCTGACGGCAAGCGTCACATGCACGTCGAATCCTCATGGCGCTTCTACTTGAAGTAGGAAGCCTTTTCTTCCTGGGAGAGTATGTATGCGAGAAGCGGTCAGAAAACTCGTGCGGGGCAGAAGCTGGAGTCTGGCCTCCTTATTTTGGGGCAGCCGATGTGGAGGTATTAAGTCACGTGATTAAGGTAGTTGAGTTTGTCGGACAAGTGCTGTTGAACGGACCTGACCTATAGACCACATCTAAGCCCACCAACCCTTGAAAAAGGGACCTCTTCACGTTTGGCCTAGTGACATCTCCAAGAAGTAACACTATGAGGTAACTCTATACTCTTTGGCTCATATGGGCCTCCGGCTGAGGCGTACTAGTAACTTAGTTGAGGGTTTCCTCGGCTGAGACGGAAGAGTAAGATATAAATATGAGCTTGTGCAAAGGCGGACACCATTCTATGCTGTACGGATAATTCTTTTGCGTGCGAGGGTCATTCTAATGTAATTCATCTGGTATCTCCCAGTGTGCATAGACCACAAGCCCAACTAATCAACTAAGTAACCACAGATGACCCGTGACATAATAGTTTATTAGGTCTGCAAATAGACAGATACGAATAACCACTGAGAAATCATAGCACCTGCCGATCAGTATGAACAGAAAAGGAGTGGGAATCCGACATAACCAGCATTTCCCGGGTTTATGTTTTATTAATAGATAATGTTAGTAAAAGACGAGAACAGTTATACGCGGGAAGAGGATTATTTCTCGGGTCCTGACTTGTAATAACTCCCCGCATAGTGATCGCGGGCATTAAAGATGTGCCAGGTATCCGATTATAAAGCAAGATCAAGGGGAGGCGGAAGTTTTTATTGGCTCGGGTAATCCAGAAAGTCCAGTAGTTAAATAAGTCCGGCAGTCAGCCTAAGCACTGACGCGGCTAAAAAGTGGCCCTCGGGGCTGGCAATTGTCCGGGGCTCCACTCCGAATCTAGCGGGTACGATATTCCATGAGGATGCAGTCAACAAAGGTATATTAGGGGACCTCTACCCATTCTCTCTATGATCTCAGAACCTCCAGTATCCCTAGCTCTGTCAACTCAGCAATCGCAACGAACCAACAAACCAACCAACTATTTCCCATCATGTGTGCCGTAAAACAACATGTCATTCATGACTACGCGGAGGCTCCTCAACCCACTCATGAGACCGTCATTGTTGACGGGGTGCTTCGATATCCTCCCACCGACCTGAACGTTCTTGTTGTCGGTGGCGGCCCAGGTGGTTACTTGACAGCACTTGAGTGCTGGAGAAAGGGCCACGGCGTTGAATTGGTGGAGAAGCTCAGTACTAACTCACCAACTGGTATGTACTAATGTTATGTCTCTGGAGTAACAGCGTTGACAAAAGAAAAGGCGACGCTTTCCTGTTGAGCCCATCAGGCGTGTGCTTCTTGAAGTACTACCCGGCCCTGATAGAAGAATATAAAAAGTGGACTTGGGATCTTGCTATCGGCATAAGCCGGCTTGACGGCACGCCAATTGTACCTTCTTTCGACTTTGAATGGAACCGAACCGGTGTGCCGGAGCACGCCGCATGGCCCTTACGGGTGCGCACTATGATGGCCAGGACAGGTTTGGCAACTATGTTGTACGATCAATGCCAGCGACTTGGCATCAAAGTCACGTTTGGCGTCAGCGTCGTGAACTATCTCGAGAATGCTACTGAGGGAACGGCAACAGCTGTCGCCAACGATGGCCGCCAGTTCACTGCTGATATCGTGGTAGCAGCGGACGGTCTCGGCACCAAGTCTCACCAGATTGTCTTAGGTCAACCCGTCCGAGCTATACCGACCGGATATTCTATCGCACGTTTCATGTACTCCCTTGATGGGATCCAGAACCCGATCCTTGACCAACTAAGAGATATCAAGCGTGGTGTGCTCCGCATCAGTTCGGGGTATGTTTTTCTCTTTCTTTGTTGGCTACGCTTACTAGCCTCTTGATTGGTCAGTTCTAACTCCCGATGCGTATTTAGTAACGGCTTTCACTCCTCCATATGTCTGACAAACAGCCACGTGCTTTTCACTTTGACAAGCCCAGTAAGTAAAGCCTAGCTAGAGCTTCCCTCATAGCCATTGTCTGCGTAAGGAAGCTCCGCTTAACTGATATGTTTCACTTAGGACAATGGGACAGCTGAGGAATCTTGGTCTGCAGGAGTCACTCCGGACGAAGTCTTGTCCCGGATACCTGACCTAGAGGGGTTGGATCCGCTGGTCATTGAAATCATTCGAAACGTTCCTCAGGAGAAGACATTGATCAGCTGGAAGCTATGTTGGCGTGATCCTCAGGAGAAGTGGACTTCGCCTGAAGGTCGCGTCATTCAACTAGGCGATAGTGCACATGCATTCATTCCAACGTCTCTCATGGGTGCCTCCACGGCTTTGGAAGATGCCCAGTCTCTGCCCGAGTGTCTAAGACTTGCTGGTAAAGCTAAAGCAAATCTTGGAACCAAAGTACACGAGCTCCTACGGTAAGTCCCTTATTCACGTCAAGAACCCCTGATGTATCTTTTTCATAAAACTAACTATGTAGGGTTCGACGTGTCGCGATTATTCAACGCACAGGGTTTTCCAACCGAAGTCAATCCCACCAAGAAGGTGGAATGGAAGCAGCTGTGAAAAATTCGATTGATAATGATCCTACACGAATGGGTAAGTGGGTGTGGACCCATAACCCTGAGCGGTATGCGACGGAGAAGTTTGCTCAAGCCTTAGCCCATTTAGAGGCCGGGGCACCATTCGAGCATACCAATATCCCCCCAGGTTTCAAGTGGGAGTCAGGTTGGACGATGGAGAAGGAGCTTGAGAAAGAGAAGCTAGGTATCAAGACAGAGGAGCTGAAGCAGAATGGAGACTGGAGTGTCTATTAGATTAGGAGGTTACTATTTTAGTAGCTTAATAACTATAGTGTCGTTGACGAGGCCCCATAGGGACACGCCTAGGCGCACCTCCACACCTGAACGCGTAGGCGTGTGGATTATGTCAGCCCTCAATTTGGCCTGTCGAAATTCCGCTGTGATGCAGTTTTTACTTTTGAGAATACTATGATTTCAAATGGTTATGAATTCTTGGTTATGTACCGGAATGAATGGCCTGCTGGACCTCACTATCTCCCGCTGCCGCCTCCCAAATATCATGCATACCTCTTCTGCTTGAAAAAGGGCTGCGTTCTATCTCCACAGCTACCTGAGCCTCGACACGGTTATTTTCTGCTTTACTCCAATCTAAATAGGTTATCATCTCCTCTTTAGTCCAATCTCTGGAGCCGTTTGGAGTATCGCAGCGCTTACCCATCTGCTTCCAATCGAGACACCATTGATAGCTGGATTTGTCGTACCGCAGAGGTAGACCTAGCGCCCTCCGATACTGCTCGTTAATTTTAACACTGCCACGAGGCTGCACCTTGTACCAAGTATCTCGAGCAGCAACATATCTCTGATAGATAGCCCGAGGATCGTCATACCTTGATGCCGGCACTATCTTTGTCTGTGCCAACGGTGCTGCTGATGATGCTGCCGGCAATATGTTGTCCGCGCTGTTGAGACTGACGATAATGCAACTGGCACTATCTTTCACTAACTCTGCCTGATCTGATGATCCCGAAGACGTTGGTCTGGGAGCTTCTCCCGCGCGCAAGGATAATGCTGATGAAGATGTCGTCGGCAATGGTCGTGCCTGCGCCGTTGGTGCTGGTGGCTTCAAAAGCTCCTCGCATCGTTGAGGGCATGCCTTTGAAGTCATTGAATGACCTATCTGGTGGCATCTGCTGCATTTAGGTTGTGCCTTTGGCCGTGTTGTTGCCTGAACTGCCTCGAATGCACTTGGCTCTCTCTGGGTACTTGATTGTGGTCTCCTAGTACTCGAACCGGCGGCTATCCGATCGGGTCGATGCCGAGGCTCCAGTAGTAACCGGTGAACACCATAGCGATTGAGGTGCCAATGTGTATGAAAATGCTCCAGGTAAAAGGACTGATTTTGTTCTTGTAGAGTCGTGAGAGTATGGGCGCAAGGGAGGCTGTGAGATCCGGAGAATGCACCAGTGCAAATGGGCAGGTGTTCTTTTAAGAGGAGCTTCCGCTGTTCTTCTACCTTGCGTAAGGCCTCGTGAGACACCTAGCCACGGATGGCACTGTATAGTGATCCAGAGAGCTCGATTGGTGTTCTCAATTGTTGGCTGGTTTGGTTGGATCGCAGTTCGGCTAATTGATTGAGAAGCGCATGCTTTATAGCCCTCCAAGCCTCGACGAGATCTAGCGTGATTTCTTGAGGTGGCTCTTAAGGAGCCCATGGATACCCTCAACCCGCGAGGTGACTACATTGCCAAAATGAGGATGTTGATCAACCCAAGCCCTCACTAACTTTTCCCTGTACGGACCGAGCCAATTGGCCTTGATATAACCAACCTCTTCAATATATTGTGGTAGGTAGCGCCTTTCAAGCTCTTATACGCGCTGATCAAATGCCTATTCATCCGGTGACTTCATGATTGAATGCCAATGATTAAAAAACTCATTCTAATCGGCCACGTGTATGATGTGCGAATTATTGTAGCCATCATACGATTGAACATGACATGGATACCTTGGAGCTAAATGTGCAGTTGAGTTTCGGCCTTAGCAGTGCCCTTGACCGAAGCTCCATTGATGCTGTCTATATTGACAGACAGCTTCTCCAGGCTGGTGGGCCAGTCATTCAAATCGCAGGACAGATCATCAGCTTTGAAGTCGGACCATCCGCCGTTGGACGACCCTCCCTTCTGGCTGGGTCCTTCGAAATAGCCCGCCAGATCGATGGCCCAGTCCGTGGTGCCGCCAAAGTTGAGCGTCTTGACCCAGGCCACGCGCTCCTCCTTGGTCTTGTCGCTCATGTAGGCGTCCCAATCCGTCATGCCGCTGCCCTGTGTACCGTATGTCATGATGTCCGAGTGGGTCTTTGCGTCATGCCATCGCTTGGCCGAGACACCTTCGGTGCCGTTGCTGGCCAACTGCCAGATCTCATCGAGTTCGGCGTTCGAGACTAGATAGGGCCATATTAGCAATGAACGTACTAGGATGAGGATATCACATAATGTAGCCACTGGTGTCGGTACACTGGCCGGGCTCAGCCTCGGACTCCGAGTAAGAGCCAGTAAAGAGGCAGTGAGGTCCCGTGCAGCTCTTGTCCGCCATGCGGAAACTTCGACCGTAGCTTGCAATGCCGATGATGACCTTTTCGGCCGGCACGCCCGCCTTGATGATCATACTCATCGAGTTCCGGGTCTCGGTACGGTTGACGTGAGATCGGAGACAGTTGCCATTTTCACAGCCGGGGTTAGCGAACTTATTGCCGTAGTCACACTGCCCATGCAAGTCGTAGGTCATGAAGACAAAGTAGTTCAGGACCTTGGCCATCAGGTCAACGGGGAATGGCTTCAGATACCTGAATGAACCGGGCAAGACAATGGAAAGAGACTTGCTCGATGGCAGTAGGTTTCGGAGGACGGAGAGAAAGCGGTGGTAGTAGAGAACGTCAGTCCTGTCACCGGCAGGGATGCCCTGATCAGTGGCACCGGGGTACTCCCAGTCGATGCCAACGCCGTCAAAGCTCTCATGCTTCTCCAATAACTTGACAACGTTTGCGTCGAAGACGGAACGGTATTCAGGCTTGACCACATCGCGGTAGCGCTGGAACGTCGCGGCGTCGGTCGACTCGGCCCAGCCGCCAAAGGACAGGATCTTCTTGAAAGGAGCATCCATCTTGTCTAAGACGTCAAACTGTTTCTTGACATGCTCTGGGATGTTGACGTCGTAATCGGCAGTAATGCCGGCAAAGGCAAAATGAACATGAGTCAGCTCCTTGAAGTTGTCTTCGATCTCGGAAGCATCCATGTGCATACATGGGCGGCCGGGGTTGTAAGCCTGGAAGTAACCGATGCGCTTGAACTCCTTCGCGGATGCCTTATTGTTCACAATGTCAGTTCCACAGTTGGAAATGCATCCGTTGGTGTTGATCTTAATGGCTCCCGGTGCCTTAGTATCAGCAGGGGACTCAGTACAAAACTCATCAGTAGTGCCATAAAATCCCCAGCCTCTACAGCAAGAGTTAAGCAGACACTGGTTAAGCTTGGCAAGATCCCATCTATCAAAGGAGCCTAAAGGCTTCTTGGTACCGGGCTTTTGTGGACCGCAAGCTACACCTTTAACAAGAGAGGGCATAGGAGTGTTTCCCTTGCTTAAACAAATAATCTGGCTTAGCTGCAGTCTGTTATAACCAGCCCAACCCTACGAGGCCTTGTTATACGCCTCGTTATCCTTGACCGTAATACTCGAAGTTGCTGCGACAGACACACAAGTGTCTCCGATGTCGATCTTATGCGTGGCGCAGGTGCCATCCTTGTCTGCCACTGGAGCGTTGTCTGGTAACGTCCCGGAACTGCAGCAGACGAACTGCCCAGGTTTGAGGGTGCTACAAATGTTCGTCTTCGGCTTGTACTTGACAAAGTCGGCGCCTCGAATGTTGCACCTAACACTAAGTGTGGTGCAGGTATCATCTTCGATGACCTTGGTGGTCTTGCACTCGGCACGAGCTTCGAGATCCGTCGACAACCCCACCGAAGACACAGAGGAGGTACCGTTGGATGAGCCCGTGAACAGATCACCACCTCGGATATTGACCTTGATCCTTGCATCCTTGGGTCTGGTAAGAGGCATCGCCGCGCAGTAACCATCAGCCCACGTCTGGACGTTCTTTCATACAAGATCAAAATCGCTGACCTTATCGACAGCAAAGATTCCAAACGTGTACGGGTTCATCGGGTTGATGTCGCAGGCCTGCATGATCTGCGTGCCCTGGCTGGCCGCCTTCTCAAATCGCTCGAGTATGGCGGTGCCAGCGACAGACCCCATGTCTGCGCTGATGTAAATACCGACGATGGTAGAGCCTGCCTTGGAAAAAGGGACAGTCTTGCCACACGAGGCCTTCTTGGTGATATGCTGCTTGAGTCCCTGAATGGCTACGGTGACACCACCGGTTGCGTTCAGCGCTCCAGCCAAACCAGAAGTGAGGACAATGGGCACGGGTGAAAGAGGAGCAGGATTGCAAAGGCCAGTAGAGGCCTTATCGTCCTCGCCGTCCGTCTCTGCCCGCTTGGCGTGTCTTCGCGCCGCTCCCTGGTGCAGATGTGCTCGCAGGTGTGCTGACGCTTTGGACGAGAACGAGGGGCCGTCGAGAGCGCAGACACGAATGGTCTCGACGGTCTCGGGGTGCACATTCAGATCGAACATCAGAGGAGCTTCGCAGCCGTCCAGGTCTCGAACGTTATGGATGTGAGTCCATCTGGCGGCGTCCGATCCGGCAGCAGCGCAGGTTCGAGGGCAACCCTCAACCAAGGTGGTTGCCCACTCCTCGCTGGTCTGCTTCTCGCTGTAGGGGGAGATGGGGGTGATACCGAGTTCACGCTCATGCTCTGTCGAGTTCTGAGCTTTGGATGCATCATATGGGCCCAAACGAGTGCTGTTCGCCCTACTGGTCGTAGCGGAACTCAGGCCGGCCAGGAAGCCAACAAAGAAAATGAAATTGTAAACCCTCGTAGTGTAGAAGAGAAGGCAAAAACCATGAATGAATGAATAAGAAAAGGAATGAATGAATGAACGAATGAGTGAAAAGCGAGTGTGCTGTTTAATGGGCAGTATCAAAAGGGAGCGAGGTTGTTGTAATTAATACGCGCCAATGCCTCCCTGACATATGCTCTACTCTATCAAACGCCAAAGGAGTGTCAAGCAGTAAGGAACTCCCCATGGCGAGACCATCAGTCGAAAGGTCTTCTTGCCCTTCTTTTTCTCTCACCCTCTGTCAAGGTTGTAGAGGAAAGACAAGTTCACGGCAGCCGAAGCGATATCACGCAGCCGAGACCATCGTGTGCTTGGGTGTCCGCCTAGGCATTGTCAGAAAGATGTTAGTGCTTACCTTAACTACACGTCAGTTAAATCGAATGTTTGTTCAGGTCCTTGGCTATCTAACTCGGATGGGAATCTCCCGAGTATCCGAGAATAAATTTCCAAGTGACAGCCGCCCTGCCAGGCGTGGACGGGAGTATGCGTGTGGAGTGTCAGAAGTGGCGTGCGAATAGGGGTGGGGACAGAGGCAAGGGCAAGGACGTGGGTAGAAATGGATACCCATGGGTAGGCACAGGGGTAAGAAAAGGCACAGCACAGGCTTTGTGACACATGCAATCACACTACTGGCATGTCAAAATGGGTTTTTTTTTTTTCATGAGGTTCCACTGATCACTATGTACCGCATATCGCTACACATCACCTTAACCAGTGGTAGCTCATCATACCATACTATTCCATCTGCTAGTCAGGTTGCATTAAGCCAAGACGACAATCGGTCGGCTGTTTCCTTGTATAGTATAGTTGTTTCTCTGACGGAAATTACTCACTCCTCAGCCCGAGCAAAAAGACCTGTGATTGAGGACTCAAGACTCGACATGTACTGGAGTATGATACCATGTGTGTAAGCCAGTTATGCCGTTAGCTGTAACGCCTTGGACGTAGTATAGACTTGAAAATATATGAGTGAGCCTCTCTTTACCTTTACCTTAAAACCCCGTAACTGGGAGCCCCTAGACTAACCCAACCCATACTTTACTTACTCCCCAGTCACTAAATTTCTGTCCATTCCATTCATTATCATACACTCGTTCTTTTTTCACATCCCAAGAAACACGCTCTTTTCTTGATGTCAGCATGCGTTGCCATGCTGCACCTCTCACTTGGGCCTGTATAGGATGGCCACTCCTCGTTCTGCTCCAAATTGCCCACTGCGCCCAAATTGACAACATTTTGTCGCACGCCCGCGAGAGAATCTGGTTGTGGGAAATGTATGATATCTTTACGTGAGTTACCCCACTGCAGCATACCGTAGATATGACATGTACTGAGATACCTTTTCTTTTTCCAGCGACATCGAGGGAGCCGACAAGCAATCAATGATCTTTAAACAAGACAAGACGAACAACTGGGCTAGCAAGACACTTTTCGTTGGAAAACACGGTAGACGGCAAATTGACATATGCCGAATTCCGAGCCGATCTGCAGAAGAAGTTGACTCCCGCCGGCGTTGACAAGTCCCTTAAGGCTGCCAACGCCAAAGGCATGACTCCAAATGGAAAAGAAAGCTGATCGAGACCAACATGCGCAAACACAAGCTATCCAGCGAGATCATGGCTCTCCGCCGGCAGGAAGCTGATGAGTGGCTGCTTACGCAGTTGACTCGAGAGGTGGATCCGGCCGGTACTCCGGATGATAAGAAGGCTTATGGACTTGGCTTGGATCGCAAAGAGCTGGTCATCAAGAAAGTTAAATCTTCTGTACCCGGAGCGAGTACCTGGGAAAGGGTGGACTTGGTACAAACCCTTCTGGACCACCCCGACCCGGCTGCATTCGAGAAGAAATTGAGCAATGCTGGCATCAAGGACGGCATTCAAGGCCTCGTGAAATAGGCCGACAATCTAGGAAACGAGAAGTTTGCGAAATATGGTCCGGGTACATCAAACAGAACAAGACTCACGCACATGCCCTATCAGTCTGGGGTGATGCCCATAGTAGTGCTGAGACGAGACTGGGCGGCCTGTCTGCATCCTGTTCGAGATAGACAGTGGTTATGTAGTCGGTCTGGGTGTTGTATCGGGGAGAGAAGATAGGTGTGCATATTGTTGGTTGATTGACAGTGTATGTAGTCCGGTATGTGGCGGGTTTTTTGTATGAGAGATTGGACATCGATGGAGAAGCCTGTATAGTTGATTACCATGATAATTTACCATCGATTGTTGTTCATTATTTCGTATGCCACTATCAGGAGAAGGTCCATTCCATTTTTTTTTTAATCTAGCGTTGTGTTACAGCGGATGTCCCTGTAGCTGATAATGTCTAAATAGTGAACTAGATGTGTTATTTGCAGTTGAGACCTGTGGCTGAGAGCTTATAATCACCACACAGAACTTGGTCCCTGTAGCTGTTTGTGGGGGGTTACGTGGGTGGTCAATGGCCCTGGTATGAGTCACAACGTTGGTATGGAAGGCAACAGGTACCTAATTTATGCCCTGTCAGGCCACTTAGTGCCGGCTGGCAAAAATATTTAATCCCTCCCATGTCATTCCTTCAATTAATAAATCAACGACCCAAATTCTGAAGTTTTGCCTCATCATCCATCGTCCAGCAAAAAATAAAATAAAAATAAAAATAAAAAGAATGTTGCACCGCCTAGAACTTCGACAGGATCAGGGAAAGGCCATCCGCGGCGATGCAGTGCCGAGGCTCCTTGAGGACCGTGATAGTCGCGCAGCGCTTATCCGGGGCATTCGCCTGCACTACCACTTCGCCATGAGTGAACCCGTCAGACGCCTCAGCTCCTCAATGCCTCAGGTCGCTCGAGCCCGCAACGCTCGCCGCATCATGAGCAACGACATACCGGAACGGATGACGGCGGAGGAGCAGCCATATTGTATATGGCATCCCGACATCGCCACCGAGGACACCTACCGTTCACTGGCCTCTAAATTCCCCGACATGCGCTATCAGGTCGGCCGTGCCTGTGCTGTAGCAGGTTACCACGTCCTTTATCGGGAGCTTGACCTCCTGCCTGAAGTGTCCATCGCTGAAGAGGCGCGAGAAAGCGAAACAGATGGTGGGAAACTTATCTATGACGAGATCATGAGTTTTAAATCTCGATATGCCATTATGGACGACTGCAAACGCACCATTGAATTGATGGATTATGAATGCCCGGCGTATCTGACCGGTAATACCGAAGTGCGATGGCGCTTGACAGCTCGACAAGGCATCACACGCCGGTCCAACGACGACCTCCTTCCATGCATTGAAGAGGACATGCATCTTGGCCTCGAGGACCAGGAAGTAGACGCACGGCACGGCACACTGACCGATGACGAGGCGAAGCTGCTCTACAGTCCTCTGCCTCGGGACCTGCCGACGGTGAAAAAGACTTTATTGACACAGATGGCCGCCCACGACGGCAACATCGAACGCTATGCCCAGCTCGCCAACTCTGGAACATCCTTGACGCAACTGGACCAAGACTGTGTCACCCGTGGTGTCTTACATCACACTATGTATGCTCGCTGGTGGGCGGACCAGATCAAGAACAACACCATCTATGCTAGGTCTGCCCCATACGTGTGGGACATCCAGCGAGCGATAATGGCGCGCCGCATCATGCTCAACGACGCTTCCGTGTTTGAAGACGGCTGGCCATCCGGAGTCCCGATGCCCTACATCATCTGGTGGCCCCTGCAGCCGCAGCCAGATATGCTTAGCCTTCTCGCCATAGAGGTGCCTGAGATGAAGAGGCAGTGCGCGGCGGCAGCGATTGCCTGCGATTACGAGAATATCTATAAGGACCTTGACCCAGAACCGAGCCGGCACCTATGGAAGGTCGCCAGTGAGTTCGCTGCCAACCCGTTTTACCGTGAGGATCAGGAGAGGCGAGGGAGGGAGAAGGATGTCAATGTGGAGGATGACACTTCTATGGAATCATACTACAGTGAATTAATGCAGACGAGGGAGACTACGGTACTTGAAGAGGATGGTGAAAAGATTCCAGATAGTGTCGAGAAACACGAGGTACTAACTAACATGTATGACTCCGTGAAAGTACTTAGTACAAGCTCCGTTCAGCTCAGGATCTGGGAAGGCATTGGAAAGGTATCGCCGAAATAGGCGTTCATTTTTCGTACTATTTATTTTTTATAAGTAAAATAATCTCTTATAAAAACCTTTATTAGTATTAATATACCCTCTAATTAAAATTTTATTCTTTTATTAACCCTGCCTTATTTTAATTTAATAGATACTAATTATATTATTAATAAAACTATAATATTATCCTTATAACATACGCTATGCTAACCAAGTTACAAATACCACGCACCATGGATTACAAAAGCTGCCCAATAATAAGGGTGATCCAAGCGCAAACCTGTACTCTTTCTTTTCTGGAGTCGTCTCACCGCCTTCTGGAACGAGAGTGCCAGGTTCCATGGCGACGCGATGGTGTCCCCTTGGCGCCGCACAGCCTGGAAGAAATACAGGGTAAATGCTCGCCCGTCCTCGCTGCGAACCGGCCATAGGGTACCTATGGCTGTTGCACAGCCCGCATATTGCAGCGCCGAGAGCAGCCCTTGCGGCTCGTCCCCCGTGCCATAGTTCTGCACACCAGAGGAGCATGCGACGATGGAAGCGAGTGATAGGTTGAGGTTAAGGGAAAAGGCGTCGCGGACCGTGAAGGCATCCTTGTGCGGCCCCAACGTTGGTCGGTAGGGCGACGTTGAAGACTGTGTGTGATGAAACTCTTGCGCACCGGAACTTGACTCTGATGTTTTTCCATCGCTTAGAACGAGAGACTGGTAGATGATGTTGGGATGGGTCGCTGTGTGTCCATGAAAATGAAGAATGTCAACGTCCTTCACCACTGTCATCAGGTTTTCCCTGTTGGCATTGCATCCAAGCCTGGGCTCCGATCCGAAGTCAGACGCCAGCTTTCTAATGCATTTATATGCCTCCTCGCGTTGCGTTATCTTCATCTTGTCCTCGGAATGGTCTTCGTAAGCTGAGAAGAACGCGGTTCTTAATCCCCCAGCTCTCTCGTGTAGTTTCGAGTTGGCTCTCTCACAACATTGCCTGAGTAGTGATATGCTCGCTGTATATACCACTGGGTTCCTCCATATCACAGGCACGCCTTCTATCTTCAACGCGTGCAAGGGGATGGCATGCAAGGTCCTCGTCGGACAAAAGACGAGCAGATCGCCCTCATGTGTACACTGTGAAAGTCCGGAAACAAGGCTGTTGAGTTTGTCAAGTGTTCCTTCTTCGAGCAGCCTCTCCGATGACACCAGCGACGTGTGTGAGGATAGGTATCTCTGCTTCCATACACGCACGTGAGTTAATGTCATGTCGAGCACTGACATCTGGGGCTCGAGCCTCGCATCCAGTGTGACCATTACAATGTTGTCACCTATAATAACCCAATCGACTAATACAACTTTGGAATCGGGCGAAATATCCCGATCTTCTCCATTTCCAAAAAGCCATTGGAGATCCTGCAGATCGGTCTTGCCCGCTCTCGACGCAAGTAGACGGCCGAGGCGCGGGTGTTCCTCCATCATCGAGCGAACACGTTCCAGTTCCATACTCGTCGAAACCTTGTCTATGGAAACTGCCGATTCGAGTTTTCGCACGAGCCTCGCTTCTTCCTCCAACAGCTTTACGATTTGGTCATCGACGGCAAAATTAGGAGGTCGCTGCCTGGTGTACGAATCAAGTTGCGAACCCACCAAGTCGGACAATGCCCTTGCTTTCGCTCTCTGGGTCCATCGCCACATCTTCTCGGCATCACCTAATGCGAATGTGAGTGCTAGAGCATGATTAAAGATATCATCATGGGTGGAAGAAGCGACAAGCAGCTGCTTTTGGCGCAATGACTCCAAACCCGATGACGAAGAAAGGTCCCGTCGCAATCGTTCGGAGATCGACTCCCCGATCTCAAGGTACTGCAAAGCCTCAGCGTAGAGCATATTCCTTTCTTGTCCGTCTTGATTTTCGCCGAGAGACTGAAACGCTTGTGAGATATGAAGAATAAACTCCAGGGGAACGCTGTAAGGTCCTAATTCTCTGTAGGCTGCCAGCGCGGCTGCAGCTTGGTCTACTACTGCTCGGACCTGGGAGTGGTTCTCCTCTGGGTGCAGAGATGAACCAAATGAAAGAAAGAGGCTTGAGAAGATTAGGTGTTGGCATTTCGAAATCCGTCTGAGGTCTTTTTCATCCATGCACTTCACCAGACGTTGTCTCAGAAGCTTCTCAGCACTCTTAAATTTCCCCCGTGCCATGAACAGCTCGGCCTGTCTAATGGAATCATTATGATACCTTTCTCCGATTCGCTCCCATTCCCCCATCCAATAGTCTTGGAGTTCCTTGTGGCGGTCACCCTGATCCGATCTGGCTAAGCATCCCTCTAGACTGACGATGGCTTCGAGTTTCTTGAGTTGGCGTTGCGCATCATTACGCTCCTCATCAAGTCGTAGTGACTCCTTCAGTATCTCGATGGCCGCCTCATGATTAGGTCCAGGCGTTTCCGATGCCATAGCCATTGCGAGTGCCAACTTCGCGTCAGACAGCATGTCCGGTAGCCGCCATTTCTCAAACGTTTGCACCGCCATCTTGACGTATTTGAGGCTTCTATCCTGGTCTCCAAGCGAGCGATACGCCTGTCCGAGCTGCATAAATAGCTGACCAGTAGTCTTTGGGGTTTCCTCCGACGCATCATTCACGGACTTTTGCAAATATTCGAATGTCTTTCCAAGGTGCTCTTGTCGTAGTATTGCTGCGGCAGAGAATTCCACGCTGAGGCGTAACATCGCATATCTGTTGGACGTCTGGTCAAGAACTCTCTCGAGATGGCTGAATGTGTCGACCATGTCAGCCCATGGTAAGACATCGGCTCCTTCTCCAACTGCAAGGGACAAGGCCGTGATTTGCAGCGCAGGCGAGCCGAGAGCCTCGAAATCTTTGGCGATTTGCTGCATCTGCCGGATTTCAGTTAGAGTTTTGGGGCGAATTGCCTCCAGTTGTTGCAGTTGGGTCCGGAGCTTTCCTTCAGCGCACCCCAGCTCCTCGAATGTTTGCTCAGCCACCTGGAAGTGGTGTTTCGAGGAAATAATATCCCCCTCTTGGGCCATCAGACCGCCAACTTTAAGGCAAATTTCTGCTCTGTCAAGACCTGAAAATCGAGGATCATGGAGATGCTGTTTCCAGAGCTGCATCTGCTCTTGAGTGGACTCTAGCTCGTTGCTGAGGAGCATGGCGAAGAGAATTGATTCATGGGTATGACCAGCTTGTAGTAGAGTCTCTGAAATAATCTTTAAGCGTAGTTGGACAGCGACTTTGCATTCAGCGGCGTTCAGGAGACCTTCCCAAATAGCAGCAGTAAGAATCTTGCAGTAGAAATACTGCGACGCGACCTAGGATCCTGTATCAGTGAGAAGTTTCAATACACCTCACAGAGCCCGGTGGCGAATAACATACCGTTACGTTAGAGAGTTCATTCGTAAAAGTAAATTCATCCACCTCCTGGATAGATATGGCCGCATTGAGACCATTCTTCAACGTGCTCCCGCAGAGAAAAGCAAAATATGACCGCATCATAGAGAGCGCCTTACAAGCCATAATATTCTGCCTTGAATCTCTCCATGGAATATACGAGCTTTCAATCACATCCAGTGCCATCCTCACATAACCCTGAAGATACAAGTTCCATCCAATTTCGATCCCAACCTTTGGATTAACGCTCTCTTCCAAGTCCAGAGATGAAAATATGTAATTGGACTTCTCCCAGTTCCCCATTGCCCTACACTCTTGCAAACGGCGGATATGTTCGCTCACATCAGTTACATTGCAGACATCCTGCACATTGAGTGCCTCCAAACTCTTGCCTTTGATAGGGGAATGTTCTTGGATGTCCACGATTTGATCCGATGCCACCAGTTCTCTCCGTATACTCCTGCACTGGTCAGCTTCGTCCCCCTCGTTGGCGCCATTTTCTTACTGCCTCGCATGGGTGTCGGTATCATTTCCCCTGGGATCATTGGCATTCCTGGCCCGCTCTTTCTTAGCCTCATCCTTGAGCAAAGAATCTAACTCGTCCACGAGATTGTCTCCACAGGACTGGCGTACTATCGAACGTATAGGATCGACAATTTGCTGCAAGTCCGACACCGAATTCGACCCATCACGCTCTCGGAGCTTGTCTACGCCCGCCATGAAGAGGTTGCGTTGGTCGGTAAGGCGGAGCACATCCTCCCGCAGATTTTCTTTTCTCCGCTGTCTTTCAACGTCTTCTTGTGTGTTTCCTATCTTCCCTTGCTGGCCTCTGGAGCGAAGAAGTACATTTTCCATTCGCTCGTCGATTTGCAACCCAATCCTGTTTTGGGAATCCACCATCTCACGTTTGACCGCTTCTCTTTCCTCGGGAGTCTTGGCATTCTTGAACTTGGCCAAATTGACGAGGAACGGGTCGGTATCTTCGGCAGGCTGATCCCGGGGGCCGTAGTTGTAAAATTTGTCAAGTTTCTCTCGAGTTTCCGGATTCATGATTTGAGATCTAACAGCGGATGGCATAGTTAATGCTGAAGTGCGGGTTGAAGTCTGTTCTGGGATTTGGGCCACAGAAGCGGGAGATAACTCGGAGCTGAACGGTGTGGCTTGTTGTTGAATAGGCAGTGTTTGTATGTCGTAGCCACGGTAAGGAAGAGATAACGAAGAGGACTGGGTGGTCCACTCGAGTTGGGGGTTTCTCCATGGCTGGCTAGGAGCAACCGTCGTTGTCTGGTTCCAACCAGGTAACAGGATATCCGCAGTAGCATAAATTACAGGAGCAATGACAGGGAATTGCCGTGCGCATTCCCGAGGCCCCAGGAGTCGCAGTTGTGTAACAGGAAAAGGAGACTGAGCCATGGCTGACAACAGATTACTTGCAACTTGCTCATGAGCAAAAGCAGGCGTGTAATTGAACATATTATAGACCTCGCTGGCAATTTGTCGATGAAGATCATCTCGATTGAATGGATCCTGGTAGGCTCGCTGGCACAAGTACATGATGCGGTTGAGGAAGGCTTGAGTTGCCGCCCCTTGAGCGAATAGGCCCACCATGCTGAGAAGATTAATCATTGTGGCTCCCCGCTGCCCTTTGTCCTGGTATAAGTTGGTAGAGAATAATTACAGTAGGGCGAATACTAATGAGACTCGTAAAGTTTCAGGAGCTAGGACTCGAGCCTGTCATTATTGGAGCAATTGAAACGTAAGATATACTTATGTATTTGATCGAGGTGAACACATTTTATGTTCGCCTGCCCTGCAGCGAGACCTCCAAACTGTCAGACATCTTTGGGAATTGGGATTCGACGAAATCCTGATTGTACCTAGCCATGTCCAAGAAACGGCAACGAATAAACACCAGTGGCATCAAGATTTTCATTTCTGCTCCACTCCTAGTGTAACTAGTGGCTCCCTCCGTATAAGCAGCCAATGCGTTAGTATGACGCGATGTGGCGCCCCATGTCAGCTTCAAGCACCAAATATAAGGTAGGTAGTGACAACCAAGCCTTTGCCCTAGCTCAGTTAATATGTGCTTTGCTAGCATGGCCTCGGAATCTTCCTGGGTATGTGGAATTCTATTGGCATCATCTTCACTTCTTCCTCAATAGCATTCAACATCCGGCTTTATTAAAACCATTGTCATGGAGTATCTGAACTCCTCGTTCGACACAGATTTTGAGCTGCCCCAAGAGGAACCATCGCTTGGAAAGGAGAGTACTCTTCCGAGAATTCGGGGCCTCATTACACACCAGGAGGTACGCAATATCGGGTTTCAGGCAAAACTCGACCGCGTCCAATACGGATCCTACAAGAAGCAGCGCGCTTGTCTTCTCTCATTCCAATTCTCATTCTTCTGGCCGCGAAACACCAACATACGCTTCAAGTCCGCAAATATTACCATTTTTTTTGATAAGATCGCTACACTCGCTTCTGTCGCTGCCTGCGAGCTCCAAGAAGATGAAGACGAAGACAATGATGAAGAAGATAGCATTGAAAATATCCCTCACATCATTTGTCTTTTCCCTGACCGGATCTATGGCGAATCCCAAAGCAAGTCTATTGAGTCAAGCTCAGGCCTAAAGGTGTCGGTCGGTGTTCCAGTTCCCTCACCAGCATCGGCAGGCTTAGAGATGACTTATGACGGGAAAGTCACACACAGCTTGGACCGGCGGATGAGCATTGAAGCTCGAATGAAGAGTTCGGTATATAAATTTGACAGCATGGACACTGCAATTTGGTCGATCGCGGAAAATAGCATCCAGTGCATCGGCATTCCCTTTGATATCCAGGCCGGCCTCGTGCTGCGCTGGCCTGTGTCAGGAGGCCATGTCCGTGCAAGCATCATCGTGGAGCCTGAGATGGCATACCCGATTTATAAGCCCTGGCAGGCCATGACAGCCCACAAATTGCGCCAGCGGTGTAGAAATCCTATCGTCTTCGATGGGGAGACGGCCAAGAATGATCCCATCGGAGGTGGCAAGGATTTTGGGGACGAATCCTTCGACTGGACTCAAGTCGTCAGCAATCCATCTGAATACTCTGTTAGTTAACCTCCCTCTTTGCCCATGTTCTAACGGGCTCCTCGCTCTCTAGTAATTCAAGCCCTGTCACGATAAAGCTGACAATTCTTTTTTACTTGCAGCAAAGCTACGTACGATTTAGTTGAGTGTAGGACGAGGAAATTTCCGGACCTATGAAATCAAGATGACAACGGTAGACCGACCTCGTTCTTCGCCAGGTTAAGTTTGGCATATGTGGGTAGTTAGGTTCACGCTTTTTTCAGCTTAACAAGATATGGCGTCCCAGAACGGTGCCGATTACTTTCTTCCGGCTCAAAAAGCTCAGTCCCTCGCCAACTATTCCCACGCTCGGATAATAAATCAATCAGCCAAAACCATTTTTGTTTCTGGTACCTCGTCACGTCATGGCGATAATACTGTCCCGGGTTGCACCACAGGCGCTGACGGAACGCACCACCTCGATATTTCCCTGCAGACGGAAGCGGTGCTGCAGAACAACAGAGTCATTATTGACAGGGCAACAAACGGCGCATGTGGACTACAGAATGGGTCAACGCCACTCTCTTTTTGACCGACATGGAAGATTATGCTGGAATGAACAAGGAATAGGCTTGGACACTATGGACTCAGCCTCGGGGCACGATTTCCCACTCCAATACAATAATAAAGAGAGATCTGCAACTATATGGAATTATCCCTGCTAAATTTGTGCCGGTTAGCCGGCCATTGGTGGTCAAGTTCCCAGATAGCTACTATGAGATAAGATAAAGACTTATCATATTGCTTTGTACATACTATAAATTGAAGGTGAATTAAGCTTCTTTAGGCAGGTAAGTACTATTGCTCAACGTGTGATTCTCTAATCAAGTACCTACCTAACTAGGTGTATCAGACTTGCTAGTCATTTACCTATCAATGAGCTATTTGCAAAACGTGTCGGCAACTATGTGCCGAGCAGTAGCGGTTTGCAGCACTTGTCGAAGGACCTTTGTATGCCAGCCTAAACTGACTCGGCTGTAAGACCAGATTGAGGCAAGTAAACCCATATGTCGGTCGCTCAACCAAGCAAGGTTGCCGACTCTACAGTTGAGCGACATGTATATAATTACTGTCTTTGAATCTTTTATGCATTAACAAGTATCATCCGCTGAAATCTCTTCAGAACTAGCCATGATGTTTAAATCTCTGCTTGTAGCCTTTGGCGCCATCCGTGCTGTCCATGGTTGGGGGGTCTTAGGTCATGCCACTGTTGCGTATATTGCTCAACACTTTCTCGACGATGACGTTGCCTCCTGGTAAGCACCCATGGCTACGCTGTCTGTTTATTATGTACTGATTTCACAACAGGGCACAGGGTGTTCTGGGTGACTCCTCGGATTCGTACCTTGCCAACGTTGCCTCATGGGCCGACACGTACCGCACAACTGCAGCTGGAAAATGGTCAGCCCCTCTGCACTTTATTGATGCAGAGGACAGCCCGCCAACAAACTGCAATGTAGACTATGACCGTGACTGCGGCAATTCTGGATGCTCCATATCTGCTGTCGCCAACTACACTCGACGTGTAGGAGATAGTCGTCTGTCAAAAGCTAACAAAGCTGAGGCTCTCAAGTTCCTCGTCCACTTTTTGGGTGACATTACCCAGCCACTACACGATGAGGCCTACGAGGTTGGCGGAAATGATATCAAGGTTACCTTTAACGGGTTTTCCGGCGATAATCTGCATTCAGACTGGGACACTTATATGCCCGAGAAATTGATTGGTGGCCACGCCTTGACCGACGCCCAATCGTGGGCAAACACACTCATCACTGATATCACTTCGGGCTCATACAAGTCCCAAGCCGCTTCTTGGATCGCTGATAGCGACGTGACTGATCCTATCACGTCAGCAACTGCCTGGGCCTCGGATGCCAATGCTTACGTCTGCACTGTGGTTATGCCCGACGGTGCTGCAGCGTTGCAGGAGGGTGACCTCTACCCGACCTATTACAACTCTGTGATCCCAACCATCGAGCTACAAATTGCAAAGGGTGGTTACCGACTGGCTCATTGGCTGAACAATATCTACTCTGCCAAGATTGCAACTCGTTCGGTGCATAAGCTGAGTGCACGGAAACCACTGCCAGACTTGATGGGAAGAGATCTGCTTCCTGGTGCACGACCTCTGAGTCGCGCTAAGCTCGCGAGAGAAGCAATTAGCGGGAGCTGCTGTGCCTCAGGACATTCTCATTAGAATTTGCGTCTAGTGGACCTTTATGGATGTTGGAGAACCCTAGGCTACCTGTTTGGTACTATGTAACTATATTGCCACTATCAATAGGTAGCTATCATCTCAACCTCTACATCAGTGTCTAAGGGCAGCTGATGGACAGCGACACACGTCCGGGACTGTAGTTGTAAACATTAGTTAAGGACTAGATTTAGAACCTATTTTTTATATCACTAACAGGCTTGGGCTCATTTGGGAAAAACTCATCCCACGCAATATTGAAAGAGCCGAAATCCTTCATGTCAACCAAGAAGACATTGGCCTTCACCACTCGGTCTAGGCTACTACCAGCAGCTTCAAGCACGGCCTTGAGATTCTGGAGCGCCATGCGAGCTCGGTCCGTGATAGAACCGGGAACCAGATCGTCGGTTGCAGGATCGATGCCGATGGATCCGCTACAATAAACCATGCCACTGTATTTGACGGCTTGAGAGAATTGGGGGAGAGGCGCACAGGCGTCGGTCGTGTAGATTGCTTCAAGGTTGGACATGATAAAAGGAAGAAAGAAATTGATTGACAGGTGTGAACTCTTGAGGTGAAGAACAGAGTGGTGTGACTGAAGTATTTGCTTAGTTAAGATTCTGAAGATGTCACTAAGTGTTGAGATTAAATACTTGTGCACCTCCACTTCTGTCTCTTGGACAGAATGCATGTATTATTGCAGTATGTTACGTGGTAGAAATTGCAAGCTGGAATTGTTACCAATCGCCTCTGCCATTGTTGGCTCCACTACCCTGGAGTGGGGAAGCTTCTGTAGGCAAGACAGGAAACTCCGAGTTCACAAACAGTACAGTAGTCCTGGAGTCTTGGATGGGGCTGATCTAAACCAAAGACAGCAAAGTAAGCGGCGCTACCTGTCATTGGCATCGTCAATGTGGATCTATAGATCATCCCGAGGAGGGGAGTGGGCCGCGACAAACGCCGCCGGCTGACTTAATGCGACCAATGACCAGTGGACATGCCGTCGACGTCTGGGCCTCACTCGATTTTGACATCCATCATATCAAGGGCGCAAGCCACTTATGAGCCATGCAATTAGTAGTCTGACGATTAAGCCTCTTCACGTCCGAATATTTAAACATCCCTTCTGGAGCCGTGAACCTGAACACCAAACCAAACAAAAGCACACTAAAGCATACACATACGTACCATCCTTTCAGAAAGCAATCACAATGGTTCACATCACCCCTTTCGCCGTGGAGCAATGGATGGACGAATATGAAACGACTCCAGGCGTCCTGAATGTTGCTGAAACGTGTGCCGCCTCTGTGTCCATCGATGACTTGGTCGCCATGTCTAATGGTCCCGCCAAGAACCCCATCGACACAAGCACCAAGCTCACATATGGTGCCATCCCAGGATCCCAGACTCTTCGACAGCGCATTGCTGCCCACTGCAGCACTGAAGGCTTGCAGCTAGCGGCCGAGGATACCATCGTCACTCAAGGCGCTATAGGCGCCAACTTCCTGGCCCTGTATACGCTGATAGGGCCTGGTGACCATGTCATCTGTGTTTATCCGACGTATCAGCAGCTTTACGACACTCCCCGTAGTCTCGGGGCTGAAGTGACTCTATGGAAATTGAAGAAGGAGAATGGCTTTGTCCCTGATGTTGATGAATTGGCTGGTCTGATTAAGCCAAACACCAAGGTATGTATTATTGCCCTCCATTATTATATATACCACGAGATACTAACATAGCCAGATGATAATCATTAACAATCCCAACAACCCAACTGGAGCGCCAATTCCAGACAGCGTTATCAACCGTATCTCCAAGGTAGCAGAGGATAACGGTGTTATTCTCTTCTCTGATGAGGTATACCGACCGCTCTTCCATGGTGGTGCTTCTGGCGGCAATGGCACTGAAGTGCCCAAGCCAGTGACGACACTAGGGTACCGCAGAGCCATTGCAACGGGATCAATGTCCAAGGGTTATGCGCTAGCAGGTATCCGCATCGGCTGGATTGCCAGCCGGGATCGGTCTATCATCTCAGCTATCATGCTAGCACGCGACTATACCACTATCAGTGTCTCCCAGATAGACGATCAGATTGCTAGATTCGCCCTCTCGCCTGAAGTCAAGCCTGCATTGGTACAGCGGAATATCACACTCGCCAGGACAAACGCAGCCATCCTCAAAGAATTCATGGACCGCTACAAATCAGTTTGTTCATGGGTGGAGCCCAAGGCCGGCACAACAGCCTTCATCCGCTTCAACGACAAGAATGGGGATCCTGTGGATGATGTCAAGCTTTGTCTTGATTTATTGGACAAGGCTAAGCTCCTTTTTGTTGCAGGGTCTCGCTGCTTTGGAGGTGATGAAGACTTCAAGGGTTATGTTCGCATGGGTTATGTCTGTGAGACGGATGTGTTGGTTGCTGGCTTGAAGGAGCTCGGGGCTTACATTGATAGAGTCTTGGTGTAGAATTGCTCTCATATGTAGTTTCACTAAGGCTTTTTCAATGAAGTATGTGTCTATTTGTCACTTTGGGCTGTGATGGGGTGAATAAAAGCAGTATCTGGTTTGACATTCCGCGAGGAGAAGTGCAACATAATGAAGCAAGAGTACAGCCTATAGAGAAGTATTAGATTGAGTTCACTTTGCTATAATGCTATTTCGCTTGACCCTTTTATATCTAAATATGAATTGCATGTACCTGCTTCTCTAGAGTCTATAGACTCCTTATAGACACTACCTTCTAAGGAAGCACTCTCACGTTGTGTAGCCTTTAAAATTTGAAGGAGGATTAGCTTTCACATTTCCTATATTTTCACAAACAGTGCTCTACTGCATATTTGCTAGAGTTATCTAATATTGAAAATTTAAACAGGCGAGTCAGTAATAAGTCAACATCGCTGCCAGATGTTCATGAATGATGTTATTGGTTTTATGAGATTATTACGTAAAACAAAATCATGAGGAAGGTAACTCCGAACAATAGTTTCTATATGTAGAAAAGCCTTCTGCTTATATAACGAATCTGACTGACGGCTTATATTAGCAGCCCTTCCTTGCAATGCCTGAAGATATTAACTTTATTCTCAATGACGTCTCTTCGGCAGAGCCACCAAATGGAGGAGTTGGGCATTTCCAAGGCAGCGTTAAAAGTTCGCAACTGGCGAAAACCCTGTAAGCTCGAGATAGAACTCGCCGAACACTATTACGCGAAGATCTATTCTTCTGGGTCAGTTGTGCAAGGTCATTTAGCTATCTCGCCGGCTAGCGATATTTGTGCTTCCTCCATCACCATCTCCTTTGATGGCACTACAACGATCCGTACGGTCGGTCAAAAGTTAACAGCTACAACTACACACCGCTTTCTGAAGATTGACTTAATTTCCTCCGACATCCTTGAGTTGGTCTCAACAACACTCACAAAGAACCACTCCTGCAAAATACCTTTCCAATTCACTTTACCTTATCAACTGGATTCAACGGCTTGCACACACAACGTCGTATCGACAACTGTCACAGACAAGCACTTATTCCTCCCTCCAACGATTGGAGCGGAGTGGAATCGAGGTGACATGAGCCCTGGAGTGGTTGAGGTTGAATATGGAATCAATGCCTGCGTCGTATCAACTCCATCTCTGGACACAGGTCACAGTCAAGATGTAATGGCCAAGAGAGCCATACGATTTATTCCCAGGTTAACAGAGAGCCCACCTCTCCATGTGTCGTTGACCAGTCCACGATACAAGCTGCAAGGTACGAAATCTCTTCGGAGTAACTCGTTCAAGCGACCGTTCGGCATCATCAGCGCCACAGCGATGCAGCCTGAACCACTTCATCTCCAATCTTATGGAACCGTCATTACTCCATCGTTCATTGATGTCACCTTGACCTTCAATCCTGAAAATGATGGAATCACGCCCCCGAAGCTGGATGGCGTATCTCTTTCAGTCCGGTCCTACACTTGGCATCAGGCCGACCCATACCAAGCATTCCCTGACCAGATTGAAACGCCCAGCCTCAAGCAACCATTCACTACGACTATTGTATTAACCGTCGAGTGTCCGCAAGTGACGTGGGCCCGACATGTTGATCTTTCACTTCATGATAGCAAACAAGGGAACTCGTCCGTAGCTTTTTACACCTCTACGCTGCAGCTTCCACTATCTGTCTCGACAACTGACAAAACCTTCCTGCCGACATTCCATTCCTGTCTTGTTTCTAGGACTTACGATGTCTGCCTGCGTCTTACGTTCAAAAAGGGGTATTTGACAATTATAGCACCTCTCCAAATTATAGCTGAACCTTGAATTGAAATGATGTAACAAGACCTTGTTGAGTGAATCTCCCTATGAAGTGGCGCCCTTTAAAAATTCTTGCTTTTGCTAGCTGGTCCCGAACATGCCGACTCTATCATGGGCTCTTGGTAGGGCCAGCTAAGCGGGATGTCAAGTCACACCATATCTCTGAACTCGGTATATCATGGCTCACTGAGTCCGAACTAAGTAAACTCTTGAGAATACTACCGTCTGGAGTCAAAGGTTTGTATCGAGAAGGTGAGGCCGTTCTCGCAATTCTTTCAACTGAGGGACTCTTAACACGGATGCTGCTTCAAGCCATCCACCAAGTTAACCACGCTAGGCTTAAAGATCTTTTCTGGGAGGGCAAGTCGAAGCGCCTCCGAGTCTCGATCTCGGAAAACGCTGTAATTCGACGAAGAAAAAGCGGTGGGGTAGCTTGAACTCCAAAAAGGCCCACAAACTCCGAGCCGCCATAACTACGTCGTTCTTTTTCTCCCACCATCAGAGGCCAAACAGCCACCATGAGATCATTTCCGAGTGGATGCTGGACTTGCAAGCTCAGACATCGTAAATGCGACCTCCAAATCCCTACGTGTAGAGAATGCACGGACCGAGGCATCCCTTGCCACGGCTATGGCTCCAAGCCGGCGTGGATGGATGGATCAGCTGCTGAGCATGAAGAGCTTAGACGAATCAAAAATGCCGTCAAACAGAAGCTCAAGAAGCTCCGAAGGGTTCAGCGGAATCAGAACGTTGGAAGAGATGTGACGGCCAGATCTCTGCCAGAGGGACGTGCCCAGATCCAGACGCCGCCAGCTCCAGACGCTACTGAACTTCAAACTCCGTCGCTTTCAGTGCAAGCTTCAGATCATGGTTATAACAATTTTGAGTCCCCAGCAACGCTTGTAGAAGCTGGGAGTTGCCTCCCACTCACCCGAAGGTTGATTGGAGAGGAAGAAGCTGCACAGCCAGTCTCTCCATCACAAGATCGCACTCCCCCTTGCGTCTTGCCACCCAGGTTGGCATCTCTAATCATGTACTATCTCGATCATGTGTTTGTTTGGCAGTTCCCTTACTTCCAGCCCCGGTCCTATTTGGGCAACAGAGGCTGGCTTCTCATATCTCTCAGCAACGGCGGCTCGCTGTCGCACGCTGCGCTTGCACTCTCCACCTTACATCGAGATGCATCCCAGAAGATCTGCTCTTATAGCCAGGAAGCTTTTGAGTTTCACTCAAAGGCCTTGAGAGAGTTGCGTAAGCTCTCGCAGCACACTGAGACCGAGACACTTCTCGGCGATCAGCCCAAACTTGCCGAATTTGTAGCGGCGAGTTTGACACTGATAAGTTTCGAGGTAGGTCATGGAACTTCGGGCGAGATAGCTGTGTCTTGCTGGATTCTAACTTCCTTCCCTATTGTCACAGGTGTTCAATGGAGCTGAATACGACTGGGTTCCGCACCTCGACGCTGTGACGGCTGTCCTTGCCATGCATTCTCCGGAAGCTCTGCTCCGGACTTCATCGTCACCCGAAAACACTTTGCCTTGTTCATTCAGTATTTCCCGTGATGATGATCTCCATCAATCGCAAGCTGATTTCAATTTCCTTATGGCTCAAGCATTGTGGCATGACATTTTGGCGTGCGCCACGACAGGCCGAGTCCCGCGAATACCTTATCGGCAATGGCTGGAAGGGTCAGGTCTTGAAATGGCTGATTTGATGGGTTGTTACAACTGGGTCATGATTGCTATTGGAGATCTAGCACATCTCCAAGCCTGGAAAATTGACATGAAGCAACAAGGGAAGTTGAGCGTGCCCGAGCTAGTGAGAAAGGGTCAAAGGATAGACAAGAGACTACAAGACGGCATCACTGAACTAAAGGAAGCTGCTAAAGTGAGTACCAGCAAGATCTTAAGTCCGCACTGCCACATGACTAACCTCTCAAACATCCACAGGGAGGAGGCGGTATCCTACCGGCCCCATGGGTCTCGCAAATTTTCGCACTTGCATCACTAGTCTTGTCAAGTACAATAGTCTCCGGTCCCTGGGCATCTCTTCCCGAAGTCAAAGACGCGATTTTAGAGTCAGTAATTGTGCTAAGGGACTGGCCCCAAGCCATTCCTCTTCGGGGCCTTGTCTGGCCACTTTATATCATTGGGTGCATGGCCGAGGCCAGTCTGCAGGGCGTCTTTGAGTCACTTCTATCTAGTGTCTTGGAAGAGAGCGAAGGATTTGGAAATAGTGGTACTGTCATTAAGCTCCTAAAGAACTGCTGGGCTTCACTGCCAAATTGTAACAATGATGGGCTAGAATTGGTGTTCCAGACAGAAGGCAATGTATTGCTTATATAGACTCCTTACATTTATGATAGGGGCAATTCGATAACCCAGTTGATCTGTAACCATCTGATAGAAGCGCGACATACAATTTGCTCTATGGCATACATCGCAGTAAAGAGCTGTTTGTAGTGAATAGTTTTGACCAAAGAGGCCTTCCTATTAACCTTGAGTAGAAGCATAGTCAAGACATTATCTCCTCACTGCATTTGAGCTGGCTCGGAATGCAGACTGGGATTCATCAAGCCCCATAAGAACCAGGGTCTGAAGGAGATATCTGGTAGCGGATACACTCGGCTTAATGACAGCCGTCCTGGGAGGGCAGGTCGAAGCGCCGGTACCTGAGAAAGCTTAGAAACACTTGCTAGCTTTTAATCATGAAATCTCTCAATGGTGTCAGACTCCATCTTTGAGCGACATAACTTCTTATATGTCTGAGGCTTTAAGCCCTTCACAATAGTCTGCCATCTTCTTTTATCATTAGGTAACTTATGCAACTTGTTACTCGACCCCTCAGCAGAAACCAACTACCTTGTATCAACTCGCGAATAATACAACAATGAAGTTTGAGCGCATGCCCATTGAGATTGAGTCGCCCGAGGAGTATGGATACGACAAGATCAGATACAATCTTTCAGAAAGCTCTGTTACCGACCAGACACTCGAGTCACTAGACCTCCAGATACCAAACCTCACCCTTCTGTATAATGAGCACCGTGGCGAGACGAAGTTGCGAAAGCTTATCGCCGACGACGCCGGCGTGAGTGCTGACGACGTTCTTATCACGTCAGGGGCTGCTGGGGCGCTGTTCATCATTACGACGTCTCAATTGGGTAGCACCCCCGACTCAGAGCGCAATCATCTTGTCGTGGTGCGTCCCAACTACGCAACCAATCTGGAAACTCCCAAGGCTGTTGGCTGCGAGATCTCATACATCGATGTTACTTTTGAGAATGGCTTCCAGCCCAAAATCGACGAGGTTGAGGCTGCTATCAAGTCCAACACTCGGCTCGTCTCGGTGACATGCCCGCATAACCCTACTGGTTCGACGCTCTCTAGAGAGGCACTCGATAGGCTTGTTGCAGTTACAAAGAAGAAGGGGGTTTTGCTGCTTGTCGATGAGACCTATCGAGATATCGCATTTGCCGAAAAGCTCCCTGTTGCTGCCTCTTTGGGTGATCATGTTCTGAGCGTTTGCTCACTTTCAAAGCCCTTTGGCATGCCTGGAGTCCGCATCGGTTGGCTTATCACCACCAGCAAGACGCTTCAGGAAACCTTTCTTGCTGCAAAGGAACAGATAAGCATCAGTGGCAGTGTCATCAACGAGTGGATCGCAATCGATGTCTTGACCCGCCGTGAGAAGATCTTGGGCGACACAACGAATGAGATGAGGGTCCGACTTCAGATGGTTGAGTCTTGGATCGAAAGTGAGGAGCTGCTGGAATGGATCAAGCCGACTGGCGGCGTTGTCTGCTTTCCCCGTATCAAGGAGGAACCCAAAGGAGGGTTTTCGGCGTTCTACGAGAGGCTTCTCAACAAGTATGCGATATATGTTGGACCTGGACATTGGTTTGAATTGTCTGATAGCTTTTTCAGGCTCGGCTATGGATGGCCCACTCGGGAGGAGCTTAAAGGAGGCATGAAAGCAATCTCTGCTGCGCTGCGAGATGAGTAGAAAATGCAATCCGGATACAGCAGTGTTAATAAAAGATAAAAACAAAAGATGGACGCCATTTCGATGATAATTATTCTCATACCTCTTTTTAGTACAGTATCTCTCTACTTTTACACGGAGTGGAGTGGCTACTAGGAACACGTGATAAAATTGCTACTTGCTCGCAAAAAAACAAAAAACCAAGACCTAGCCAAACCTCAGTTCACATAGTACGATCAACTAGACAACCACGTCGATTGCATGACAAGTCATAATGCCATCACAGAAGGCCCAACGTGCTGTGACCTACACAGGGTATTCAATCCGACCCGGTCACCGATGTGTTTGCTAATTGTTGATATTTAATCTAGTTGCTGGACTTGTAAAACTCGCAAGGTCAGGTGTGACGAACACCCAATTGCCTGTAAAAACTGCGTAAAAAGAGGAATAACATGCAGCGGCTACGGTATCAGACTGCGTTGGGTATCAGACTCGGTAACAGATGCCGATTCAAGCCCAGTACTTCAGGGGCGCAGGCGCATCAAGCTGGGTACGTTTGAGTGGCTTCTTGTGATTACCTTGATATTGATTTTACAATAGGTCGAGATTTTAAGGTCTATGATGCTGAAACCATCGAGAAGTTTCTTTCAAATATCGACCAACATGTCGATCATGGGTTGCCATCTTGTCATGGGCCATTCTCCGCCTTCATGACTACACGAGGCGAGCCAGATCAAGCTGTGACACCGACAACATCACGTGGGCTTACGTCGCGGGCGGCAGTAGCTGCGGAAGCTCACTCATCAGGTGCTATAGGTTCCCCTCAGCTTGCAGATCCAGGAATCCATGAAGAAGGACTGCAAAGAGATGACAGTGAATTGGCACTAAACTCAGCCATATGGCTCCCATCAAACCTAGCAATTTCGCCATCCTCTTCGGGTCCCGCGGACATTGACGTTCTGTTTGATATCAACGCCATTGCAGATTCATCGTCAAACGAGTACGAAATCGAAGCTAGCCTGGTAGCAGGGCACGATGCTGTTGGAATTGGCGAAGAAAATGCTCCGTCATTGGAAACATCTCCTGTCTCGTACAGGGGTAACAACATCATAGTACGGCAACTTGACGATGTCCTGTCTGGTAGCCGTCAACAGGATTACTTGATTAAGCATTACTACATTCATGTGGCAGCAGTTCTCCTTCCTCTGAACCATTCTGACAACCCGTTCCGAAGCCTCTATTTGTCTACAGCGATGGAGGGGTTGTTCCGCCATAACTCGCACACTACCACATCGAGAGAGATAGCTTGTACTGCACTCTATCAGTCTTTGTTGGCATCCGCAGCGTACCACCGTTGGCAATGTAACAAGCAAGATAGTATCTATCATGAGCTTGGGGCCAAGTATCGAACCAATTCCATCCAATTATTACAACTTGCACTCACACAAACGCCACCGACGGCAAATTACCAGGCACTGATGCTTGCAGTACTGTCCCTTGTTACAATAGGCGTCAGTCATGGATGTTCTTTTGATTCATGGAGCCTGCTGACATGAAGTATGCAGGTTTTATCAGGTGAATGCGACGACTTTCGTATGCATATTCAAGCTGCTACACAGCTCCGTAGTCTACGGAGTCCATGGAGGCTATTAAGCCGTTCTTCCAGACGACTGAACGAACTCGGCGCTTTTTTAGCCCTGTTGTCAGAAACGACATCCTCTGAGCCCTCGCTGTCTCCCTGGGGCAATAAGGATGATAGGGCCATCTATGATTGTTCAACTCTGCACTCCAGTGAATGTTACGCATTCACTTACGGCATTACACCGACCATCACGCTAGCTATTAATGAAGTGTGCCGTCTTTCTAAGAATCTTACTCGCTTTCAATTAGAGAGTAAGAGCTTACCTGATGAGTTTCTAGAAGCATGTGAAGACCTGGGTAGCATACTTGAGGCTTGGCGATTAGAGGCTGAAGATACCACAGCCATCTTTACTGGCGATGGAATTAGTTCTTCTGTTTTCTCTCATTATGCCAGGGGATGGCATGGAGCTGCGCTGATCTACTACTACACCCGCATACAAGGGATTAAGCGCGCGGATCTCACACGGGTGGTTGACGGCGTGGGCGAGCATGTGAACAACGCTGAAGATTTAAAATCAGTGATGGATAATACTCGGCAGGTAATTTCTATGGCGCCAATTACGTGGCCGGCGTTTATTGCAAGCTGTAATGCCATAAGAGGGCGACGTGGTGTATGGGAGCGATGGTGGAAGCGAGTACTAAGGTATAAGTTGGGTAACGTGAGCAAACAGTGGGGTTTAGTTCAGCAAATATGGGCCATACTTGACGGGGCCGAGAACCAAGGGATATGGTTAAGTTGGACTGATGCCTATAATATGGCTGGTCTTGATGTGCTGCTTGTGTAATGCTTAATAGTAGCTTTATTGTCAATAACGTTAAGCTACAAGTTACCAAAGAAGTTAAATGAACTCGGTTTGAGTACATTTGGCACAACCAGCGTGAACCCATCTTCCCTAGTCTCGGTTAATATGCCGGAGAACACTTCAGTCGCCTTTGCGAGTGGTAGCGGCATATTGGTTAGAAGGCCCTGTGCGAGTTGCATGGGGTCTTCAGAACCTCGTAAGCGAATACATAGTTCCTAAGAGGTCAGAAAGGTTCACTTGTAGTGTAATTTAAACCTACTGTATACCGCCGCCATAGTCCTGCTGTGTCATTTTCACTCTCATTCTCCTGATCTGCTGGATTGTGTTGTGCGAAGGATGCAATATCATATAGCTTGGAGCAAAGGTCGATAAGATTCTTTAGATCACATCCCTCTTGGTCTTGGAAATTCTGCAAAAACCTGACAAACTTTCCAATACATGCGACGTTCAAAGTCACCTCTGAGTCTGCAGGATTGTGAAGCACAACTGTCAAGAGAATAATAACAGCGCAGGTGGGGTAGCATATGATTTGCCTGGGTCATCAGCATGAATGAGATATAAGCAGGATTTTTTCTTACCATAGAGAGGCCAATGGCTGTGGGGATAGACTTTGAAGCAAAAGGATCGTGGCTCGGGCGCTATGCGTGGGTGTAGGCGTACTCAGCAGCAGATTTGGATGTTCTCGTCCCATCGACGTCAAAGGGGCATTATGGAGTTTCCCGATGGCTGTATAAATCTTCCAAGTAGAAGCGTAGTAGGCAAAGTGGAGCTGTACGGTGCCGTGATTAACCACTCGGGGCAATGTTGTAGGTCGAAATTCTGTAGGCAGTTCGGTCTTCCAGGATTCGAGGTCGTTGTCTAATTCAGCAAGAGCCTGAAACATCTTATCAGTGCTCTTCCAGAGTGATGAGCCAGGGTACAAGCATCGACATATTCTCGACTGAATCAGTGCCAACGTTGACATGTGCCTCAGTAGATGTGTACCAGAACTAGCATCTAGTTCGGGCCTTTGGGAGGGAAGTTCAACACCAACTTCATAAGATGGCGCCGGAAGGTTCAAGTTGATCGACGCATTGCATTGGAGCACGTATATGGACCAAAACGACCGCCTGCGCTTTTCTATATCGATCAAGTCGGTCGAGCCACAAAGATCATCCAAATGCAAGCCAATACAATGGCTAGCATGCGCAGCTGCGGACAGCAGGACAGTGAAAGCTTTTGCGTCGGCGGTTCCCTTCATAAACATTGCCATGACAAGCATCGCTTGACAGGAGTCGATGCTGTCACCGCTCGTGACGATCTCTGGAAAGATAGCAAAGGCATTTTTGAAATATGCCCACGAGGTAGGAAACAAGTCTTCTATCGCCTTGTTGTCGGCCTTCCAGTGGATGCCCGTGGCAATAAGAGCGTTCAGCATTGCCCAACGAGTGGGATTGGCGTGACAGTTTGATAATCCAGCTGAATACTGGTCATCCACAAGCTTCAGAACATGGTGGATGCTGAGGAGCGGCTGCATTTCATGCATGTCTTCTAGAGCGCTAGATATGAAGTGTAAAATGTGCCCCTTCGGTGGAAGTGGGACGAAGACTGTTCGCTCGAGATTGCTTATGTTCTGCTGGGCGTGAGTGATGTTTCTGGTGATTTCTTCCGGCCATCGCGATGGAAGAAACTGAGTTGTATTGGTCGTTGCTGTTTCGTCAACCGGGGGTATATCGCGGGTGTGTCTAGGCTCTGCAAAGATCTGACTTGGACCTTTATCGGATAGAGGGGTGACCGGCGGTGCTACCTCTATATCCTTTAGGCGTTGCTCGAGCGTTTGGATGTACTGCTTGCTATTCCAATTTAGTATTGGAGCCTATCATGCAACCATGGAGACGCACCTTTTCCCAAGACCTCTTCCTTTCCGCTCGCCATAGTGACATGTCATTTTGCGATTCAAGCACCTTTGACAGCTTGGTAATTTGCCGTCACATCGTACCTTGCTACTCCTACACGGAACACAAGCCTATTGGACTTAGACCTACAGGGTAGGGATGCCGGGTTGCGGTGACTTACATTACCAGTCCGTCTACGCGTCGCATCAGCGCTGACGGTCACCGTGTCATGTAATTCCATTCCGCTTATTGCAATTAAAACTTCAAATTATGTCGAACAAGTATTTTACCTGGAAGAATCGAAGGTATTGATGCTTACCTTTGAAGTTGCCGTGATTACTGGAATGATAGACCCATATTTACCCCACTTGATTTGTAACGTCACCATTGTCGGAATTAAATTACATCCGATCATCGCAAATCACTGCTCTTTGTAATCACCGACAAGAATGTTTGTTTCTCCACAGAATTCTACCTGTTGATATGCTCAACCTGGGCTCAATTGATGCTAAAATTACTGTCCCCAGGCCTCAAAGAGAAGGTCCTTGATCTTTCGGGCCTGTACCTCAGGGAACACCTGGTTGAGCGTACGGTCAGGCTTGAGATCAAATGCACCTTCAGTGAACATGCGGCCAAAAGCAGCAAAAAAGCCCTGCAACATCGGCTTGGGGAAAAAGGGATACATATGCGGGTGTGAGGGCAGCTCCGTGATTCTACCCTGCTTGAGGTCCTCGACCGAGTCGTGCTTGACGGTGAACTTGACGCCCTTGGCCTCCTCGGCGTACTGCACGAATTGATTCCACGACACCTTGTCCCCAATGATATAGGACTCCTTGTCCCACTTAGGAGCACCAACGAGTGCCGCCACAAAGCGCGCGACGTCAAAGGTGTGGGTAAAGGCCACGAGCTCGTTGCCAGATCCAGGAATGGCGGCAAAATTGTTCGCAATATCGACTACCAGAGCGAGAGGGCTTTGGTAGGACTTAACTTTCGGGAGTACCCAGTAGTCAGCAAAGTAGCCGTTGTACACGGCAGAGTACTCGAGGGTCGAGGTTGCTTCCAATGCAGCAATGATGTTGAGCTTGGCCCGAGCGATGGAGAAATACGATGCAATCCTGTCCTCGCAGTTTAGTCTTGTTATTCCAAAAGTTTTAGTAGCACGGCAGCACCGACTCTTCAGTGTACTTGATGCCCCAAATACTAGGGATGTATCGTTTAGTAGATGCCGATTTCTCAGCTGCCTTGATCAAGCTCAGCTCGGCCGAGATGTCGTCCAAAGAGTTGATGGTGGATATGACAGTCTCAATGCTGTTGGTCTCAAGCGTGGCAGCAAGCTTATCGACGTCGGTGTAGTCCACGGCGATAACCTGGGCTCCTTGTACATCTTTGGCCTAAAATCTGTGTGAGATAATTTGTTGCCAAGTAGTGCATGACGATTATAATTACCTCTCGAGCCAGGGCCACCACGGTATGCTGACCCTGTTCAACGAGCGCTTCAACAATCGCACGGCCGAGCTTGCCGGCGCCTCCAGCGACAGCGATAACAGTCATGATCTTGATGTTTGTCTATTTCTTTTTAAGAAAAGGAGGTATGTTTGTCGATCCAGATACAATCAACAAAAGAGATAGATGATGATTCCCAAGAATTATTCTGGGTGGTCCTGAGACCATTCATATACCTGCGTGGTAAACATGCTAGTGAAACATCGGCAGTATAATACAGCCGGGATGCAGATTAGTAAAGGGCGCGCGGCTGTGCGGATAGCAAGCCCCGTAGTAAAGCAAAGGATGATAAATAAATGCCGGCTCGGAATTAAAATACTACCGGAACGACCGCGTTCCAGAACTTTGCCGGTAACTAGCTAAGAGTTGCTTAACCCTAGCTTTATGGCCATCTATACCCGCACGGGTACCCGTGCAAATAAAGTCATATAGGTACCTATGCAAATAAGATATTATTATATTAATAACCCTGATTATTTATACCTGGTCCAGTACGTCAGATATCCCACGACGACACTATAAACCAGTGGGAGCCCGAGTCGAAGGTCCTAGAAGCTCAGTGGGACTGATGATCCTCTTGTGACTGATCAATGCAGTTCTCACTCGGACAAAATCCAATGAATCCACACATCTTGCATCACGCGTCGTACCTCAACCCTGTCGTCGACCGACTTTGACACAATCCGCCGAAATAGCTACTGGATTCACCCGGCTGCTGTGGCCTCAGACGTCTACATGAGCACCTTGCAGTTCTCTTCTGTTCGGCTATCTCTCACATTTGTCACGACAAACGCTGATGCACTGGAGACAGACATTGAGGCATTATTGTACAATACTATGTAGTCCATTTTAAAGCTTTGCCACAAATCTAATATCCTTGATAACCATGTTCTTGCTGCTGTTGATAGCCATGTCTCGTAGTTTGCGTCTCAAGATCTTGCCTGCAGGGCTTTTCGGTATCGCAGAGACAATCTCAATCTCTCTAAGCCACTTGTAACATGCCGTGTTCTTTTTGATGTATTTCAAGATCTCCCTTGCTGCTTTGACTTGCCTGGAGGACTCTAAAGACTTAAGGACTATAAACGCCTTAGGCCGCTTACTAGCGCGCTTATTAGGGATCCCGCAAACAGCAACATCATTAAGATGCAGATATCCGAGAAGAAGGTTCTTGAGTTCTGCGGGTGTAACTCCGATTCCCTTGACCTTAATCATCTCCTTTAGCCTATCAGGAATAGATAAGAAACCTTCGTGATTGAAATGTCCCATATCGCCAGTATATAAGAACCCATCCTTATCAAAGGTCTCTTCTGTTGCCCTAGGGTTATTGAGGTAGCCCATAGCAATTTGAGATCCGCGAGCCCAGATCTCAACTGACTTGCCAACATTATAGTCCTCGGGGACGTTGACGGAGGATGTCTTCATATTTGCGAAAGGCTTGAGGTGATGAGAGTGAGTGTAGTAGATGGTGTTGCCGGTGTTCAAGTCAGATTCTATCATAGTAATTTTGGTTTGTTATATAAAACAAAACGAAAGCCGAAGAGTTGAGTGTGATATGCGATTTCGCCGAAGGCGTAGACGACACTCCGACGCCTCGGTGACTCCGACTCGGCTAATGTACGCCCTACAGACCTCAAGCCCGCCCTTGTTCAGGCTAAGGAGTCAAACAAATGCCCTGTACGGCAGCCTAATTGGAAGTCCATAGAGGAGTGCAACAGCTAACAGTAAGGTTTGGCGTTGGTAATATGCACCGTATCGTAACGACGTGCATCTCGGTTCTCATTAGGTCACAGAAAGTTCATAGGAGCCGAGGTGCAGTGAGAGGGACAGCTCGTTTAGGCACGGGAGCAACATTTGCTGTACCAGTCGCCACAGCGTCTCTCTTAAGATGCAGCCAACACATAGGCGTATGTACACAAGCCCGTATCAATTGGCTTGGCCGCGGGTAGTCACGAGGTGATCATTGATTCAAGGTAATATTGTATCTTATCTCGATCTCATCCACCTTCTATCCTCTCCCCGCGCTTTCTTGTCATTGCTGAAATCCCCCTCCGGTCCATTCCTCCCTCGGCATCATCTCCCTCCACTTCTTCCCGCGGTTAATCTACCTCGATTACTTTTCCACCCACTAACTGAAGGTTGCAATATTCTTTCCTGTCATGGTTTCTTCGAGGTAGCCCACTCCAAGGCCGAGAAGGGTGCCTCGAACGAAAGCACCAAGAGCGTGCCGCTCTTGTCATCAACGCAAAGTGCGGTGTGATGTGACCCGCAAAGAGGGAACGTGCACCAACTGCCTCCTCGACAACATATGATGTGAGCTGATGGCAAGGAAGCCCAGAAGGTAAACTGACATATTGCGCAACTTCTATGAACGATTTACTGACCTTTGCTCAGGAACATGTTTATCTATGGCATCAGACTTGACCCTTCTGATGATTCCTCTTTTCAACCACGACACGGCCGCCGAGTGCTTGGCTCTTCAACCGATTTCGCTCAGTCAAGTCCAACTGTTTCCGCAGGCCAGCCTTCTCCGAGTACATACAATCAGGAATATTACAGGCACCGAAGAATCGTCTTTCAATCAGGAAGAGCCTCAGAATGGAAAAGGTTGACCGCTTGTCCAAGTTGCCACTACTCAAGAGCCGATCGAAAAGGCGAACCAAGGTTTTCCATTTAGTTATATTCTGCCAAAGATCAGCAATGAAAACTCTCTTCCCGCTTCCAGGATCGCCAATGGCGAGAATGCTTCCCTCGGGCCCTAGACAGAAGACCAAGTGTTTTCCACCTCTTAACCCCTCATAGATGCTACCAACTTGAAAACTCTTCCACCCTCATATGTCGCCTTCGTCGTGTGTTACCAGCGAGGATCAGGTTATTCTCATCCAGAGGAGAGGTAAGCATCTGTAGCGACCCAGACGCTGTTTTCCAGATGACGAAAATATTGGCTGCCCCAGCCTCAGTGATTTGACGGTCCGGGCCATATAACCAAAGAACCTGGTTAAACCCCCTCTCCTTCGCTTGAATGTGCTCAGCCAGAGCTGCAGCGTAGTTTCCGCCAACCTTTGCTGCCCCAGTTCCTCCCGGCCATGCCCTAACTACTAACTCACTGCTCGCCAACAAGCGTGTTCCTTGAAGCCCAGTCGTTTTTGGAGACGACCAGTAAAACATAAATATATATAACTAGACTTCTTCCGGTGCTTTGAAGCCTAAGCTCGAGTCCGATCCAATCAAAGTTGGTCGGATGTAGAGAGCAGCTCCAGGGTTATCCTTTGGCAGCCATTTTGGCGATTCAAGCGCACAAAGCTTGTGAATGAGTTTGAGCAGTTCCTTTGGGTCGAAACTCGGGAGCGCGATGCGTGATGCAGAGTTACGCAAACGCTCACAGTTAAACAGAGGGCGAAAGAGACGAAGGCGACCATCATATCCGCGAAAAACCTTCATGCCTTTAAAGCATTGCGTAGCGTATTGCAAGGCGCTCGCAGTAGGCATTAATGAGATTGGGCTATAGGGAACCACTCTAGGGGCTTCCCAGCCATGTTGAGAGGTCCAGGAAACAACAATCATACGATCTGTGCCGTCTCTCAGAGTCGCAACCTCGGGAGAGTCGGGGTTTGGAACAGGTTTGGAGTTTGGCGCATTAGTAACCTCGAGCCTGGACGCGTCCAGCTGAGCGCCAAGGTGTCCGGTCGTCATGATGATGAGAGCGAAGAAACTTTTTTCCAAGTATGTTGGTGTTACGAATTGGGCAGCATAACGGTCAAGACTATTCTATTGATTTTATTATATGTCGCCGCCATGTCGGAGTATAGGGATTTCGGAGTAAGACGTGGGGCGTTCTGAGTAAGTCGTAGGTTGTCGGAGCAAGGCATTGAGTGTAGAGTCTGACCTAGTGCGTAGGGCGTAGGGCATGAATGAAAGGCGTAGCAAGGCCATACTAGACCCTGATGATAGCATTATAAGCCTAAGGTCTTTAATATTTACTTCTGTTTATTATTGTTTTTATATTAAAAGGGCATAGATACCCAACTGCTTCATAGTACTACCACAGTCCCACTGTTCATTTGGCTGCTCAGTCTTGTTTCTCCAACAAGCTCGCAAGATATCCCGAACAGTCCCACAGTTCCCTATCATGCCAGTTCCTTCGGATAGCACACTGTTTAATAACGCTTCAAAGAATGGCTGCTGGTCTTGATCAGCTATGCAGCCAGCAACGCATATAGGCCAGCTCAGTTGCCGAGGAGAGACCATTTGGGATGCCATTTTGATCTCCAGAATCACTCGGCTTACACCTCTTCTCACTACAGTCAATGAGATGTTCTTTGAGACTTCAGCGCTCAAAGCCGCGAGCTGAGCCAATGCCGCGGCAGCAAATATGCGAGTAACACAATCTTGATCCGGTCGCTGCTCTGAGTTCGTTTGACTAGATGCTTGGTTCGTTAAAATACTAGGAGGCAATCCCCGAAATTCCATTGAGGCCATAGGGGTCATATCCATGACGTTCTCTAGTTCATCTTCGATCTGTTGTCTTTTGTTCTGGAATTCCTCAAGATCAAGTCTGCCTCTGACGAGAGAATTGAACTTCCACTCACTCAAAACTGCCAAGTCCCCTATGGCTTTCATGACTGAGTTGTGGCAGCCCATTATATGTGCGAGCTGAAAGGTACAGTTAGGTCCCAGCCACTCATCATATGGAAGTCTTGGTTTCTCCCGAGTCGCTACACAGGCTAGCAAATCCACCCAGAGCAGGACCGGGAGTTGGAAGGCCATAGCTGCGGCAGCTTTGCTTTCAAAGAGAGGGGAAGGAAGCTGATCTACTGATTGCGGAAGCGGAGGCTGATTATGCATCATTACTGCGATGGAGGACATGGCGCATAAATGCGGTTGCCAGTTTGTCGCACTTCCTCGAAGGACCTGTTGTCTTTCAGCACCTGTTTCTGCAGCTTTCACGTCTATACCATGGGCCATGTCAATATTTACCTCAAAGCTAATAAGAGTTATACCACAAGTGATGATCTCGACCAGAGTCTCGTTTTCGGGCCGCAGTTCATTGATGTCGATGGATGAAAGAAAGTCCTGTAGCTGCCTGACCGCTTTGGTATGAAACTCAAGTTCAAGGTGATGGTTGTTTGTCTCGCCCAGCAATGATCGCTGATGCAACGCTGCGAGACCCATGGATGCTCGATAGAGAGGCCCATTTTTGCTCAGGAGCCAAAGGAGCCAACCTCGAGACAACCTTGCCTTGTCAAAAAAAGGGTACTGATAGGGAAAGACATGATCTAGGTAATGCATCAGAAGGCTGGCTTCGTCGTAGTGAAGGGGCTCGGCGAAGGACTGTCCCGAGAGGACCCGGCTTTGCAAGGATCGAGGAGTCAATATTGGCGATGGTGTGATCCTTGAATCGGCATTTGCTGATGAGTTGAGTAAGAATCCATCGCGGTGATAACAAGCACTCACTTTGAGAAACGCCGCTGAAATGTATGCCATCTGTAGCAGGATTTGATAGGCTTCGTTCTTGATTTGTGTTCTGATTATGTCCTCTAGGTTGACGTGCCTGAAGTCTCTTTTTCTGCCTAAAGTTCTTCTTTACAGCATGCTTGATGCGCTGCTTCTCTTGCTTTTCATTTGGGCCTCCGTCCAACCACAATGGCGTTGGTCCATATCCATGGCACTGGATCTCCCTGCTGGTACATTGGAGACAAGCGGTTGGTGCGCCGTCGCATTTGACGTGCCTAATTTTGCATGTCCAACAGCATGCGGCTTTCCCCGGCCCCGTCATTGTCGGCCACCGACGGGAAATGAGCAGGGAACTCACCTCCTCTACCTATACAATTGATCTAGCTCCCGAACATAGAAGGGCACTTTTCAAACTTCGGAACAACTAACTGTTTGATTGACTGATTGATTGATCTTGACTGAAAGGGAGGGACATTCCCCGCAGCCGCGAAGGGGTCAGTCATGTGCGATTCCCGATTGTGACTTGGCCGCTGGCCCCATAAGATTCGCAACGACCTTCCCTTTAGAGTTTAGTGGCTTCCGAAGATGAATTCTGCAGCCACCTTTCATTTGCTAAGCCAGACTTTTCCGAAGGGAATGTCGAGGCGCCGCACATGCATCTTCGGAGAGCAAGTCGGGGCAACTGTAAAGTTAATGTCGGAAAGTATGTTCGGGTGAGATGGAGCAGCGACAGGTTGGAAGACCACAGCCGCATTCATATAAGTGATGCCTTCCATCAGAATTATCTTAGTCTTTCACAAAGATCCTGAGTCTTGACCTCCATCCATCTATCTCTTACTTCTTGTTCGCCCCTCTTCACCTAAAATGAACAGCAAACCAACGCTCAAACTGCTAGAGGCCAGCATCAGCGATCTCAAACAGTTGTTGGACGATCGAGTCATCACAAGTGTCGAGCTTGTTGCTCTTTACCTGCATCGCATTGGCAAATACGACTGCCGCGGTCCCTGTCTTAACTCAATATGTTTGATAAACCCGGAGGTTTTCGCTGAAGCTCAAGCCTCGGACGATTATCGTGCCTCCGGAAAGCCGCCACGACCTCTAGAAGGTATTCCATTTACGGTCAAAGACAGCTACAAGGTCAAGGGCATGACTGTCGCAGCTGCATCCCCTGCCTTTGCAAAGCTCGAAGCAACCTCCGATGCTGCCATCGTTGAGCTGCTTCGTAAAGCAGGAGCAGTCGTGCTTGGCAAGACCAATATGCCCCCAATGGCTGACGGCGGCTGTCAGCGTGGCTTATATGGACGGTCAGAGAGCCCATATAATCAGAAATATATGCCCACTGCTTATGCGTCTGGCTCCTCATATGGTTGTGGTGTGTCTACCGCCGCAAGCCTGGCTGCCTTTGGCTTCGCCGGAGAATCCGTCACTTCTGGTCGCTCGCCAGCATCCAACAATGCACTGGTCGCCTATGCCCCCTCGCGCAGTGTTATCCCCCCCGAGGATTATGGCCTTTGTATCTAACTTGCGACCAGGTCGTTCCTCACACGAGGACTATGGACGATCTGTTTCACGTTCTAAACGTTGTCGTCGCTGATGATGATACTGCCGGCGACGCTGATTTCTGGCGCTCGCAACCGTATGTATCACTCCCGAGGGTTAGTGAGATACGACGGGTAGACTATTTCACGTTGGCCAACCCAGATGCCCTTCGAAACAAGCGACTAGCTGTCCCTCGATGTTTCATTGGAGTTGAAGGTGCCAAGCCGGAAAACGCATGTTCTGCGGGCGTCCGGGCGCTCTGGGAGAGAGCGCGCGCAGACATTGAGAAGCTAGGCGCCACCATCATTGAGACTGATTTCCCGCTCTTTGAGAACTACACCAAACAGGAATTTCCTGGTCAGAGCATGAATGTTCCCAATTTACCTCAGGAATGGCCGGCACGCGAGCGGTGTGAGATGATTGCCTTGAGTTGGAACAACTTCCTCCGCAGCAATGGCGATAAAGATATACCAGACTTCACATCTGTCGAGCTTGACAAGATTCATCCTCACATTGCCCCAATGGATGACCCATCGCAGCATACCGAGTCCCAGAATCAGGTCCGCTACGAGGATATGGTTGCTGCGGTCAAGAGCCGGGGAGACAGCAGCCTCGCCGACCTGCCTGGATGTCAGGATGCGCTGCAGGCCTTGGAGTTCATGCGGAAGAAGGACTTGGAGGACTGGATGGTCGAGAACAAGTATGATGCTGTGGTGTTTCCGACCAATGGCGATATCGCGTTGGCGGATTCGGATGAAAACTACCAGTCGATGATTTCTGCGCTACGCGACGGAGTCAAGTATGCTAATGGTGGCCGATCGCTGAAGCATCTTGGGGTTCCTTGTATAACCGTGCCTATGGGAAATCTTGTCGAGGAGAAGATGCCTGTTGGACTCTCTTTCTGCGGCAGAGCGTACGACGAGTCCAACCTATTGAGCTATGCCTTTGCCTATGAGGGAGCCACGAAACGTCGGGAGATTCCACCTCTGGCGCCTTTACTGCCTTCAGATGAAATTACAGTCACTGACTCCAGTCCTCCATCTCCCGCTATCATAACGCCAACTTTAGACATAGCATTGATTACAGCTGTGAGCGAGGATTCCCCTGACTTGGATGTTCGCGTGGTCAATGCAACAGGAACCTGTCACTTGGCAAGCTCAACTGAGGCTTCAGTCGGCTTGGAAGTCTTTGCCAATGGTGAGACAACATCACCTGTGAGTTGGGTGGGAAACAACTGGGTATGGACGGCTCGCCTCACTCGACCTAAGCGTGACGACAGGTACCCGGCTCTGGCGAAGGTCCCAAGGGATCAGTTTCTTATTGTGTTTGTTGCAAAGGCAGATAATGGACGCTCTTCTGGTTCTTTTATCTTGCTTGACTAAATAGAAATTATCTAAGACCTTTAAGACGCAGTAAGAAATAGAGCAATTATGAGACTATAGAGATAACTCTTCAAGCAATTACAGCACCAAGGCCTGATTACATAATATTAAACACCGGGGATAGCGGTAAAACTACAAGCTTGAAACAAGAGTTCGGGCAAATCATCTATCACAGCCTAGAATTGCGTATGCATTAGCAAATCCCATCAGTCACCCACTTTCAACAGGCTCACTATGTTGGTTAGGCGACACCCGTTCTGCGTTCAAGAATGGCATCAGCAGAGGAAATCCATCGGGGTCTCAGGCAACGTAAATGGAAGCTCAGTGGGATCCTGATTATGTCTCAGGAAAGACGAACACTATTATGGTTTTCTATGGTTAATCTTATGGCAAAACCTATATTCTAGCTATATAACATGTTTAATAAGCATGCGACGCAGACAAGCATGCAACGCACTTTTCCCTCTTATATCTAACCTTTTATCTAATTAATTAGTTCTCAACTACATAGTATATTATAACCTTCAATTAAGGCTAGAACCCTCCTTACCCTTTAGGCCCTTTAAAATAACCTAAAATTAAGTATCTAATGTATTGTAAAGATATATAAGATCTCTAAGCCGAGGCTATATTACTATAAAAATGGCATTTAATTATAATGTAATTTTATCCTAAAACTACAGAAACTATTTAATTTAAAAAAGCTAATAATAATCTAATTTATTCTTAACTTAAATATAATAGTTTTATGTTTCTAAATAAGTAAGCTAATTTATATTAGGTTTATATTTATAAATAATATAAAGCATAATATTAAGTAATATAAAGTATTAAATCTCTTTATAATTAATAATATATTTTAAGCTTATTAAGGTAAAGAAGTTATACTAATAGCTAATAAGCTAGAATTTATAAAAGTATTAATAAGTATATTTTTTATATATATAGTAATATATAATAGTAAGTTAATACTTATAAATAAACTATAAGTTTAATTATAAGTTATATTAAGTAATATAAAAGAAAAAAGAAAAATATAAAAGTTATTAGTTAATTAATATTATAACCTAATAAGGGGAAGCGCTTACGTTATATATAACCTATTAATAAATTAGCTAATTATACAATAACTTATAAAAAAACCCTATAATACCTATAAGCCTTATAATATAACTTATAATATTAACTTATAACTTATTATAAGCCTAACTTATAATACTATAAGCTACTATATTATATATATATATTTATTTAGTAATAAATAAAACTTAGCTTACTAGCTATTAATAAGACTTCTTTACCTTAATAAGCCTAATCTATATTATTAATTATTAAGAGATATAATACTTTACTATTACTTAATATAATGCCTTATAATTCTATAAATATAAAACCTAATATAAATTAGTTTATCTATTTAAAACTTATTTTATTATATATTAATAGCTCTTATTTAAAATATACTATATTAATAACTAAATAATATTATATTATTAAGATATTTAGTAATACTAGCCTAATATATCCTTATATTAAAGTACTACCTAGCGCTATTAAGATAATAGCTAAAATCTAATAACTTTATAATACTATTTATACTTTATAGGCTTAAGTAAATATATATCTTACTATAGCTATTAATAAAAGCAGTAATAAATAAGACTTAAGTAAAGTACTTAAGCCCCTTAAGCTAAAACCTTTTAGAGGCTAAGCTATAAATATAATCTTATTCTTAACCTAAATAAAGGCTTACTTCTGCCTTTATAAAAATAAGCTAAATACCCTTATAAAGAAACTTCTATATACTATAAGCTTAATTTAGGGAAATATAAAGAATTAATTTAAACCTATTTTAAGAGACTTCTTTAAAAATAAAGAAAAATAATAAGACTAAAATACCTAAAATATCTTTAAAAACTAGGGAAATTTTAAATAAGCCCTTAAAGATAACTTTAAAGTAATTAATAAAGAGTAATAAGTTATAGTAAAATTACTTATACTTAAATAAATTAAGTTATATACTGCCTATTTTGCTAAGTTTTAATAGCTTTTATTTAAGACTAAATAAGATAATAAAGCCTTAATAGAAATTTAATATAAAGGATTAAAGGAAGAAGTTAAAGATAAACTATACCTAGTTAATAAACTTAAAAAAGGTCTAACTATATATATTATTATAATAATTAAGATTAATAAATAATAATATAAATATAAAAGAAAGAAAGCTAATTATAAATAAGGTAATAATTTTAACCTATATTACCCTAACTAATAATATAATAATAATAATTAAGGTAACTTTTAAAACTAAGGCTAATAATAAGGTAATTACTAAAATAATACCTTATATAAAACCTAAGCAAGACCTATAGTACTTAAAGCTATATAATAAGGTAATAAGGAAAAATAAGATATATCTTAATATAAATACTATAACTATAACTAATTTAAATATATAATATAATAATGCCTTAAATTATAAAAACCTTAATAGTAAAATTAAGGTAAATAACCTCTTAGACTAACTTAAGTATTAGTAATAACCTAAAGCAGGTATAATATAATTTTATATTATAAGTTAACTTTTATAAAACTATTACCTAAAACTATAAGAAGAAAGAAAGGAGAACTGCTCTTAAAAGAAAAATAAAAATAATAAAGATTTTATAAAAATAAAATTAATAATAACTATTATTATAAAAAGATAAAGAACTTAAAATAAAAAGAATATTTCTAATAGAAATAAAGAGAGAGATAATAGTAAAAAAAAGATAATAAAAAAGATAATAAATAATAATAACTAAAAGTCTTAAAAATAATATAATAAGAAATAGCAATTACCCTTAATATAGATAAGAAAGCTAAGTTAACTAATAAAATAAATAATATCCTTATTAAAACTATAATAATAAATAAGTTTTAGAAAAAGGAAATAGCCTTTAATAAGAAATAAGAAATAAGAGCTAGAATCTATAATTATTATTATTAATACTCCTAAAATATAAGATATAGAGGAAAAGCAGTATAAGTAATTATATAATACCTCTATAAAGAAGATAAATACCTTAAGTAAAAATAAAAATAACCCTATAAGCTACTATTTAATAAAGCAAGAAATAGAATATAAATATTACTAGAAGATAGGTATATATAAAGAGCTAAAGAATATAAAAATACTAATATAATTAAACTCTTAAATATTAAAGTATATTATATTAATAATACTATAAACCTATTATATAAAAAAGAATAATTTAATAAATAAAATAATATTTAAATATTTTTAATAAATAAATAATATAAGGAAATCTTATAGCTATTTTATAAATACTATTAATATAAAATATATAAATAAGAAAAGCTTAATAATAATTACTTTTTAATAACTATCCTTAATATACTTAATAATAAACCCTACCTAATAAAGGAAATAAAAAGGTATTTAATATATATATAATATAAAAACCTAAAAGTAATAAAACTATAATTTAATATAACTTACTATTAATAAACTTATAAAATAAACTAACTTTATAAAGGGATTTAATAATTATAAAAACTTATTAAAGATATTAAAAAAGAATTTTAAGTAATTACTAAAGGAAAGTATAATTATCTAAGGAAACTAATAAAAGAAACTAAGTTAGATAATAATAATATAACTTAAAAAAGAATTTTTACTTTAGTTAACCTTAAGGAAATATTTAATTAAGTAAAAATAAATAAAATAAAGAAAAAATATTAAAAATAGGAAAGAGAGTATTAAAAATAAATTAATAATAAATAATATAATTACTTAATAAAGGAACTATTAGTTAATAATACTAGTTTGGAAACTATAAAAGAATTAGTATATTAGTAAGAAAATAATAAATTCTACTTATATAATAACCTTATAGATTTCTAATAACTTAATAAGATTATAATTATAAAAGATATAATTAATAATAAATAACCTAGATAAAGAACTATACTAAATAAGCAGGATATAAAACTAAAAGAATATCTCTAGTAATTATTATATAATAGAGAGTTTAAAAATAATTATATTAATAGAGAAGGATACTATAATAGTAATTATAAATAGATTTATTAAGATATATTAGGAAATAAAAAATACTATCTATAATAGAGCTATAGATATATAAAGTATAAGGATAAGAATGACTTAGATTAATAAGTGCTCTAGGAGCTATACAAGATAGTAAGCCTAATAGCCTAGTACTAAAAGTTTAAATTAAGGGGAGATAGCTAAATACTTAAATTAATTATAAAGCTAAATATAACTTTATTAACCTAGATTTAGTTATAAAGCTTAGATTATTATAGAGAAAAAAGCAAGTTTTATACCTAGTTATTAATATAAAAGGATAACCTTTTAATTATAATAATAAAATAGTAAATTAAGAGATTAATTACCTTAAGGTCCTTATTTAGGGGAAAAATTAAGGAATAGACCTAGATATTATTTTCCTATTACTAGATATAGATATTATCCTTAGTATATTATAGCTTAGATAGGTAAACCTATATATTAACTAGCTAACTAGCTAAGTTACTCTTTATAATAACTTAAATAGTAATATTAAAATAATTATAATAAATAATAAGAAATCTTAAACCTTAATTAAAGATAATAGTATAGGTATATATAAAATAAAGAATTTACTAATTCTAAAAGGAATATAATATAAGTATATAAAAGGTAAGAAATAATAAAATTAATAAGCCCTAGGTCTTATTAAATACTAACTATATAACCTAAATAAATAACTAAAATATTAAAAGTAACTTAAAGAAAAAGAATAATAAGACTAACTTAAAAATATTTTAAAGAAATATTATATTTATAAAAAACTATTTAAAGAAAAACTTAAAATAAAGGTATTATAATATAGCTACTAAGACTATAAAACATAGCTTAAAATAAATAACTTACTATATTAGAAAATTTATAATCTTAATAAAAAGGAACTTACTACCTTAAGAAATTACTTAAATATAAAATTAGTAAAAAGAAATATTAAGATATCTAACTTATTAATAAGATTTCTAATAATATTTAGCTTATAGAAA